TAACTATATTCATGAGAATTTTGTATTTGTAGATATATATTTTTATTTTTAATGAAAAAAATTTGTCTATATTTATTAAATTTTCATTTGAATGAATTCATATTTTCTTAGAATTCTTATTTTTTTTATTTATTTAAGAAAATGTTTACTGAACATAATTGTTATTTAATAGTATTTTTATTTCATCTAATTTCGATATATGAATTTTTATTATTGGGAATTTTTTTAAATCGAAAAAATTTTTCTATAAGCATAATTTTCACATAAATTTTTCACTGAATTTTGTTTCTAACTTTTAGATAAATTTTTTTTTTTTTTTTTGATACAAAAATATGTATTTTATTTATTTCAATTTTCGAAAAAGTGTAAAATAAAAATTTGGAAAATGGAATTAAAAAAAAGAAACTATTTAAATATAAATTCTGTTAAAACGACAATTTTGTTTTAATGAATATTTAATTAAACATTCTATACTTTATTAAATTCAGCTTAATAAAAATTCAACATTACAAATTGTTGTACATAGTATTATGTAATGATATATGGAGCAAGGACCTTTAATTTATTTTAGTTACAAATTCGTAATGTCGGTGGTATTCTGAGAAACATCATCTTTTTTTTTTTTTTTTAACAAAAAGAAGTTTCGTCTACGGCGCCGCAATTCGTGGACTTTAGAGAAGGGGTAAAGGGGACATTTTAACAGTCTTCGTATATGGACACGAAATGCATGATTATAAATAGGAGTCATTGCTCTCTTCAATTTTAAGCTCGGCCTCAACCCACCTACACGCATTTTTTTTTTAATTTCTCTTTTCTGGGAAATTCCGCAATAAAATGATAATAGATTTTTAAGTTTTTTTTTTTTTTTTTTTTTTTACTTAAATTTCTCTTCTGTATTTTAAGAATATTTTTTTATATATTTATATCATATTTATATTAAGGAAATTATATTAATAATGTAATATTAATAGGTACTATTAATGCAATATTTATAATAAGATTATAATTTAATATATTTTTATGAATTTAATTTTGACCTGATAAGAAAAAAGGAAAAAAAAAGCATTAAAACGATTGAAGATAAGAAAAATTCGATAAAAAAAAAAATTATTATTTATTTATAAAACATCTATGTTATATCTACATATATATAATTTAAGTCCATGAGTAAATAGATAGTAAAGAAAAATTCTTTTTCTAGACGCTCATTTCCATAATCTTAAAAGGTTTCTGCTAACATATATGGGAATTTCTGATAGTATATTTTTCTTTTCCGGTATTTAAAGCTTCTTATAGCTTTGTCGGAAAGTCCGATCTTTATTTATTGCGGTTACAGAAAATTTCATATATCTTTTTTACGATTTCACTAAAAACTAAATTTTTTTATTATTATAATTTAAATTACACAGTTCGACAAAATTTTGCCACAAGATTAAACGATGGTGATTCTTATAGGATTTTTGACGTAGATTACGAATCTGTAAATGAAATTGTCCCATCACGTCTCAATTTTGAGAAAAACTGTCTCAAAGTGTCAAAAAATCGCATTTTTGGCACTTTTTGAAGCACTATAAAAAAAGAACGCGACGTGATAAACGGCTCAAATATGGCTTAAATAAGAGCTAGTACCCTCAACTTTAACCTCCAAAAGCAAAAAACCATGTACCAAGAACTCAAAATTGTGGGCAACATTTTTTTACCGCGTGCGCGTCCAACAGATATTGTTCCCACGATAAAATGAAATAAATTGCTGAAAACGTCGTCAAAGACACAAGATCGATTTAAATTAACTTCAAATTGGTTACTCGGGGGTTTTCGGGGTCGCTGATTACGAATCTGATGTTATTTTTTAAAAATCCAATATGGCGGATCCAATATGGCGGACGATTTTTGGAATAACTTAACATATTAGTCTGAAAATCGTTACTTGGGGGTTTTCGGGGTCGCTGATTACGAATCTGATGTTAGTTTTTAAAAATCCAATATGGCGGATCCAATATGGCGGACGATTTTTGGATTAACTTAACATATTAGTCTGAAAATCGTTACTTGGGGGTTTTCGGGGTCGCTGAATAGGAATCCGATGTTAGTTTTTCAGAATCCAATATGGCGGAACTAACATGGCTTGACTATTAAATTACTACAAATTTTTTTGAAAGGAGTTATTTAATGAATAATTTAATTTTTTCTTTTTTACGCAGTTACATGAACCTTCTTTTTACTAATCCAATATAAAAAAAACTTTATTGAGATAAAAATGTGACGTTTCGTTTATTTTGCAGCATTAAGGATTTTAATTTTATTTCTTTTACATTTTCAAGGAGTTCAATTGATGAGCTCGCTGTCAGTTTGTTTCTAATTTTTTGTGGACGAAAAAAGTAGACGTTAAAAATGAAGCTTGATGTTTTCTGTTGTTTTCATTTTCACGCCGTATTAATTAAATCTGTTTGACAATATAACAAAAATTAATTAAATTTATTTTAAACCTAGTAACCATTTTTTATTAAAAAAAACTGTTTCCTCTTATAAATGACGTGGAGGCATGAAAATAATTACTAAAATTACTAAAGTCTGCGAAAATCAAGAACTATTTAAAAATTCGCTCGCCAAATTCGATTCGCTATCTTGTATTTAAAAATTTTTAAGTCAAATTCATAATTTGCAATCTCAAAACTTTTTATATACTCAATTTAATAAAAAACCATAAAATCTTTAAGCATCAGATTCGTAATCAACAACCCCGAAAACCCCCGCGTAACGATTTTCAGACTAATATGTTAAGTTATTCCAAAAATCGTCCGCCATATTGGATCCGCCATATTGGATTTTTAAAAACTAACATCAGATTCGTAATCAGCGACCCCGAAAACCCCCGAGTAACCAATTTGAAGTTAATTTAAATCGATCTTGTGTCTTTGACGACGTTTTCAGCAATTTATTTCATTTTATCGTGGGAACAATATCTGCTGGACGCGCACGCGGTAAAAAAAATGTTGCCCACAATTTTGAGTTATTGGTACATGGTTTTTTGCTTCTGGAGGTTAAAGTTGAGGGTACTAGTTCTTATTTAAGCCATATTTGAGCCGTTTATCACGTCGCGTTCTTTTTTTATAGTGCTTCAAAAAGTGCCAAAAATGCGATTTTTTGACACTTTGAGCCCGTTTTTCTCAAAATTGAGACGTGATGGGACAATTTCATTTACAGATTCGTAATCTACGTCAAAAATCCTATAAGAATCACCATCGTTTACTCTTGTGGCAAAAAAAAACCTAAATTTTGTCGACCAGTGTTATTAGTCATTGTATTATTATATATAATTTTTTAAAGTTTCAAAATTAAAAAAAAAAATAATATTTGATGAACCAATAATATTTCACTTAGTACTTTATTAAATTATAGTACAAGATTATTTATTTGACTGATTTTATTATTATTCAAATGAAAAATCCATTTTTCTTACGAATGGTTATTATTCAGATTTATGTTTCATAATTTATTACAATTATTTTATTAAATATTTAATGATATTGTTAACAAAATGCAAAAAGGCATGTAATTATAGAGAAAGTTTCAAAGAGAAAAATAATAATCTATTATATTTGTAAAATTTGTCTAAAAATAATAATAATTGTTGAATAATTTTTTTTTAAACTAAAAACACTTTTTTATTCAAGGTAATATTATTTTCATAATAATTTAATTTATTACAATTATTTTATTATAATTTAATAAATTTCATTATTTTAAAAAAGCTCGCGCTATTTTGTCTTGGGCCAATGAAGTGATTTGAACCGATACAAATTACAATAACCTCAAAACGATTATTATTATTACTAATTATTATCATATTGAATATAATCAACATCATTCAATTAATTACAAAAGAAGAAATTCATTACCTTTTTTTTAAATGATTGATCATTTTCGTCAATTTAGACGATTTGTTGAAATACTTTATTATACTAATGACTTGAGTTTTAATATTAGATTTATAGAAGAAAAATTCCATTCAAAATCTCAAGAGAAATTAGTTTTTAATTTATTTTAAACATTCATATCAGAAATAAGAATCAGTTTAGGTGCTTATATACCTCAAATTTCGATCAGATGAACATTATTTCTGGACCGTGAAAATGCGTAAAAAGTCATTTTCACGGCGGGTATTTTTGAATTGTTTTAAACAAAAAATGTTTTTTTAAGAAATATAATATTAAATAATTGTTTTAATATGTAAGAACACTTTAAAATAGTGATAGAGAGATGATTTGATTAAAAAATTTAGCAAATTTTGCTTTAAAACTTTTCTGCTACAAGAAAGTGTAAAATGACGATGTTTGTGAAATGGTTTGTACAGTGCTTCTTCCTTGTGAGTGTCTCTCAGAGTTTTGTTTATGTTATGTCGGTTCTTTTTAACTTGTAATAAATAATGAGTGCTGAAAATAAATCGATAAGTTGAAATGTTTATCAAATAAATTTAAATTCAACTAATTGTTTCGAATAACTAAAAGAAACATGTACACATGTACACTGTACGAACCGAACCATTTCACAAACATCGTCATTTTACACTTTCTTGTAGCAGAAAACGTTTTAAAGCAAAATTTGCTAATTTTTTTAATCAAATCATCTCTCTATCACTATATTAAAGTGTTCTTACATATTAAAACAATTATTTAATATTAAATTTCTTAAAAAAACATTTTTTGTTTAAAACAATTCAAAAATACCCGCCGTGAAAATGACTTTTCACGCATTTTCACGGTCCAGAAATAATGTTCCTCTGATCGAAATTTGAGGTATATAAGCACCTTTTGATAATTTTTATGTTTTTTATATTAATTTTGCACCCTTTTGTTTATCAGGGTGCAAACACTTTTTTTTTTACGATCAATTAATTTAAAACATCCGAAATGTAAACACCTGACAATTATTTGTGTCACTATTCAGATGTTGTCTCTACTTTTATCGACACAAATTTTAGACTTATAGTTACAATATTCACCGCTTGGATTGCTGGTGATCCAAATTTTCTGGAGCTTTCTAAAACCGGTGTGAATTCGACTCAGATAAGGTTTATATATTGAACTGCGAAAATCTATATTGAAATCTATTTTTTCTAATTAAAAAAAAAGCAATTAAAAGACGAATCCCAACATTATGGACAAGGTGAGAATTAATAAATATATTAATTTAAAATAATTATCAAAAAAAAAAATTATTATTTTTCATTAAAATGTTTACTGATTTTCGACATAAATAGAAAGTCATTGTGACAGCGTGGTTTCATTAATTTTTGGGCAAAAAATATTTTATTTCTCAAAATTATTTTCAATAAAAAATTGTTGAGTTTTAATAAATTTATTCTCTTATACTAAAATGATAATATTTATGCAAATAAATGATTCATTTTAAATAAGCATAGATGGTCCTTGAAAAATTCTCTATTCGTCTCTGAAGGTTCCAGAATCCTTCAATGTTTAATATATTGGTTAAATAATTTTTAATTATACTTTTTTTTCAATAAATTAAAATAATTATTTTTATTTACCTGAGGATGAAGCTAAATACTAATTCGAATGAAAGGGAAATTTTTTTTAATTTTCAAAAAAAAAAGAAAAAGTTTCAAAACCTAACCTCAAATTTTATAAAGCCGCTTTATGTTAATATATCGTGTATATGTATTTTATTGAATGAACTTATTTGTTAAAGTTATTTCAATCTTTTTTAATAATTTAAAATCACAATTTTAGTTAAGAATTTTATTTTAATTTTTGAAAATTTATACTAGAAATAGAAAATTTTAGAAAAAAATAAAATAAAATTGGCAATTATTTCGTTTTTAGTGTCTAATTTACATTGTTTTGAAATTCATAAAGGTCGAATTTCAATTTAACCGAATTTTGACAATGGAGAAATTTTATTTAGGATACATTCAAATTCATTGTATAAAATATTTAAAATTATTATTCTTTATTTAATTCTAATAATTAAATTTAATATAATTTTTGAATTTTTTTTTTTTTATAATGTATTGAAAAGAAATTTTTAAATATTTTAAATAAAAATTTCAGTTATTTAGAAACAATAACTATTTCGAAAAAAATTTAATTTTTAATTTACATTTTATTATTTATTTATTTATTGAAAATATACGGGCAAAATTATTTAACATTTAATTAATTTAGAATAAATTGTTAGAATGAATTATTATTGTCATTTAATACTATTATTATTATTTATTATTATTTATTATTATTAATAAATTAGTTTTAGAATATTTTTTATCCACATTTTTAAATATAAAATTTATTTTCTCTATAAAATTAAATAATGCAAAATTTAAATATAATTAGAATTAAAACTTCGATTACAAAAGTACATGAAAAGAGGATTTAATTTTTATTTTTAAATTAAAATTTTTTCTTTTACGATAAATTGCAAAAAAAAGTGTTAAATTCTAAACAATATAATATATATTGTTTCTGAAGAAAAAAATCGCAATTTTTTTCTTAATGAAACAATAAAAGTATTTCATTAATTGAAAATATTTTGAATATTTTATATAATTCTTTTAATAAAAATAAAAAAAAATGTTGAAATAAAATTATTTAGAAGTAACTAGTACGTTTCACTCTGCTAATAATAATAAGAAAAGAATGTCATCAATGACAAATTGTTTGTTGATAAACACAAATTCACTGTTAATAGGTAACTGAATTGAAGGACAAAGGAAATAAAGCCCTGCAAGAAGGAAAATATGATGAGGCAGTAAAATATTATACCGAAGGTATTGCTATTGATCCATCAAATCATGTTCTCTATAGTAATAGATCGGCAGCGTATGCAAAGGCAGAAAAATATAATCAAGCCCTTGAGGACGCTGAAAAAACGGTGACCCTACAATCAACATGGGCCAAGGGTTATTCACGAAAAGGTAGTGCCTTGGCGTATTTGGGTAAAATTGATGAATCAATAAAAGCTTATGAAACTGCCCTACAACTTGATCCATCAAATGCACAAATAAGAGAAAGTCTCGCTGATCTCAAAGCACAACAGGGACCATCAATTGGCAATCCATTTAGTGCACCCGATTTATTCATTAAATTACGCAGTGATCCACGAACAAAAGCCTATCTTGACGATCCAGAATATTTGAAAATGATTCAAGAACTTCGTACAAATCCAAATCTTTTGAAAACAAAATTAATGGACACACGAATAATGACAACAATTGCTGTTCTTTATAATGTTAATATGACAACAATGGACGAACCAATGGAGACGGATTCACCGAAAAAAGAAACATCTCCATTATCCAAAGACGAGCCAATACCAAAACCTGAGGATAATCTTCCACCAGAGAAAAAACAAGCCCAACAAGAAAAAAATCATGGCAATGAGGCGTATAAAAAGAAAAATTTTGAACTTGCCCTTCAACATTATAATAAAGCAGTTGAACTCGATCCAAATGAAATAACATTTCAATTAAATATTGCTGCCGTTTATTTTGAACAAAAAGATTATCAAAAATGCATTGAACAATGCGAGAGAGCAATTGAAATTGGTCGTGAGAATCGTGCCGATTTTAAATTAATAGCAAAAGCATTCACTCGAATAGGACATGCATATAAAAAAATGAATCAATGGAAACAGGCGAAAATTTATTATGAAAAATCAATGTCCGAACATCGAACGCCTGAAATTAGAACATTATTGTCTGATATTGAAAAAATAATAAAAGAAGAAGAGAGGAAGGCTTATGTTGATCCAGTGAAGGCCGAGGAGGAAAAAGAATTGGGTAATGAGAAATTTAAAATTGGCGATTATGCAGCGGCAGTTAAACATTATACTGAGGCAATTTTAAGAAATCCTGATGATCCAAAATATTATAGTAATCGTGCGGCATGTTATACAAAATTGGCGGCATTTGATTTGGGTTTAAAAGATTGTGAGAAATGTGTTGAAATTGATCCAAAATTCATTAAAGGTTGGTTAAGGAAAGGTAAAATTTTACAAGGTATGCAACAACAAGGTAAAGCAATTGGCGCTTATCAAAAGGCATTGGATTTGGATCCAAGTAATGCTGAAGCTTTAGATGGATATCGTTCGTGTTCAGTAGCTGTTAGTTCGAATCCAGAAGAAGTACGAAAACGTGCTATGGCCGATCCTGAAGTACAAAGTATAATGAGAGATCCAGCAATGAGATTGATTCTCGAACAAATGCAAAATGATCCAAAAGCATTGCAATAGTGAGTATTTTTCAGGAATTTTTATATAATTTCTTGTGCAAATTTCATTTTTTTAAAAAATTGATTTTTCATTGAAATAATTTTTTTTCGAATTTTATAAATTTTCTGAACACCGGGAAAATAACAAAAAAAAAATAAATAAATAAATACAATTTTAATTAAAAGTAGAATTTTCGGAAGCTGAATAAATTTTTTTTCAAAAAATTTCATTTTCAATATAAATTAAAAAATTATCAATTTTAACATAAGACTTATTATGACTAACATTTTTAAAAAATCTGATATTTTCCCACGTGTAACAAAATTAGAAAAAAAATTAAATTAATTCATTAAAATATCATTTTATCATTTAAATAATTTTAAATATGTGACCTGGACAATGAAAAGGGGGTTTACGTGCGAAAAAATTAATTTTTTATTGATTTACAACAAAAAATTAAATATAACGTATTTAATTTTTTTGTAATTTAATTATTTTATAGTTCAATTATTTTTTAAATTCAATAAAATTTTTTAAATTTCAACTTTTTGCAAATTCAATTATTTTTTACGTTTATTTTTTATCTATGCAATTAAATTATGAGATTATTTGTTATTTTTTTATCGTTATTTATTTATTTATTTATTTATAGTTATCTATTTTTATAAAAAAAATTATCATATAATTGAATTTAAAAATAATTAAATTGCAAAAGAATTGAATTCACATGATAATTAAAACGAAAACAATTGAATTTATAAGATAATTAGATTTTAAATACTATTAAATAAAAATTTTCATTTCAATTTATAATGCAAAATTTTTATTTAAACGAAATTTTATTTAATATACCTATTTTTTATTGAAACAAAATTTTTGTATGTCACTGAGTTTTAAAAAAAAATTTACAGAATTTTTTTTTAACGACTCGCTGAACCGAAATTTAAATATTTCATCTAAATAATTGCAAGTGACAAATATATAACTTTGTTTTGATTGTAATTTGTTACTAAACAAAATTTGAATTTGAAAATTCATTTTAGTTAAAATTTTCTAAAATATGAAATATATTAAATAAAAAATCAGATTGAAAAAATGAAAAGTTAATGAATTAGAGGATTTATTGTCAAAAAAATTTGTCTAAACAATTCCATTTTGTTGTTATCACGAAATTAGATAATTTATTTAATTTTTATTCGATTTTTTTGTTGAAATATATTTTAGCCTAGAATTTGTTCTAAACAATAATAAATCAGTTTTTAATTAAAAAGAAAAAATTTAATTAAAATTTTAATTAACAAATTTTAATAACATTTTTTTTTAAATTAAGAACAATTTAATTTAAATTAAATGTTGGTTAAGCAATAAATAATTTAAATGAATATCCAATTAATTGGCAGCTCAGTTAAGTGGAAATTTAATAAAATAAATTGTCTGTTAAATAAATAGTTAAATAAAAATTATTTTCATTCATTATTTAATTATTATTAGAGTTATTTTTATATTTTAAAAAAAGAGTCTCACTCATTTAGTAATATTTTTAAATAAATAAAATTTTAATATATACATTTATTTTTATTTTTCAGCCACCTTAAAAATCCAGACATTGCGGCTAAATTACAAAAACTTCTCGAATCTGGTCTGATTGCAATTAATTGAAGGGAAGAACATTTTTTTACCATGTACAGCTCAAGTGTAAAGTTCTTTTTTTTAGCGTCGATTGATTTCGATTTCATTATTGCCGACGTATCGCCTTTTTTTTATTTTATATAACAGTACTGATTTAATCAAAAAAAAATTTTTTTTTTAAACAACCCAATTAGTTTTTTTAACGAGACAAAAATCTTTATATCCATATATATATATAGCTTACACGTAGATTCGTGATAAACTTCTTTAATTTATGGTGTAACCAATGCAATTCAAACAAAATATTACATTTTACGTGTGACATTCAATTTACTTTAGAACAAGTTTAATTTTTAATTGAATTAAAAAAAAAAAAAAATATTGTAATAGTTAGTATATAGGCTTTTTAATATTGTAATTACAGTAACTTTATACAATACTAGCGATTGTGTTCGGCAAACCTTTAATCTTACTATCAACAAAAAATAAAATACACGTTTTGTCTCTCACTTAAATTTTTGAAATTTTGTAAAAAAAAAAAAAGAAGAATTTAGTTGATTTTCTCTATATGACACAAATATTTTATCATGAAATTCTTTTTATCGTCTCGAAAAGAAAAATGTAGTAGCAATACAATTGATAAACTGTTACGTTTGAAATAAAATTTCATATTTTATTGTTCGTCCATTTAATACAGAGAAGGCAATGCAAAGCGCTTGTAAATGACAGAATTAAAAATTTATATCTACGTGCTTTTTTTTTATTATTAATTATAAAATAAACATTAGACTGCTTTAGAGAAATTAAAGTTAATCATATTTAGAACATACGTACCATTGTCTGCATATATATTTTTTTTTTCCCAAGATATTGAAAATAAAATTTGTCAATATGCAAAAGTTTCAATTAAAGGGACAATTTTTTGTTTTCTAAAGCCCGTCTCTTGAAAATGATTAATATAATTTTCTTTTAAAATCGAAATAAATATCAGTTTTTTTAAAAAAAAAAACTTTAAAAAAATTTCTAAATTTAATTTTTTCTACGCTTATTTTAGAAATGACATAATAAATATTGTGCAAAAATTTAAAATAATTTTTTTTAAACAGAATATTAAATAAATACATAAAACAATTTTTTATTTGACTCAATTTCTACTGAACCAAATAATTAAGTGGCACTTTTTTTGTTTGTCCTAATATTTATTGGATGAATTTGGCAAATTAATTTTCAAAACCGAAATGTTATTTGAGGAAATAAATAATTCAGTTCAATAAAAATTATGCTAAATTAAAATTCTGCTAAATTATAAGTCCAATAAATAAATATTCGATAATAAAATGTGTTTAAATGAAAAAATACTGCCAAAAAATTAGCGATTATACAAAAAATTCTATCAAATGATAAAAATTTTGTTTGAAAATAAATTCGACTAAATAAACATTCGAATAAAAAAATGTCATTAAAGGTTCAGACCTGCATTTCAACCAAAGTCATTGCAACCTAATTTAAAAAAAAAAATTGTTACTTTCAAAAATGATTTTGTATGATATCTATAGGGAACGAAATAAAAAGAATTATTAAAATTTTTATTATTTCTCTTAAAATATATGAATTTTTTTAATTTGTTTAAATGAAAAAATTCTATTAAATGTTGATTTGATTTAATAAAAATTCCGCTACATGAAAATTAAAAAAAGAAAATTAATAATTTGTATTATTAAAAATTCAAATAAAATTCTAGGCAAATAATTTGGTGGAATTAAATTTCGATTAAAAGAAAATTTAGTTATATGAAAATTCTACTAAATAGAAATTGTTAAATTAATGTTCTATATATAGTTAATAATAATAATGAAAAAAAACCAAGTTTCAATAAATAAAATTGTTTTTTTTTTTGTAATCTTGGAAAATTGTATTTAAATTTGGCGCTTCAATAAGGTGTCAATTTTTTGTACTATAATCTGCAAAAGTGACAGCTCCTGTCAAAATATATATGTAGATCTTAATATATTTATTTCTCACATTTATTAATCAATTATCTGTGATTAAATTGTTTAATAATTATTATTATCTTAATGTCTAGAAACAAAAGTTTTAAAACTTATTATTGTTACAATTATAAACGAAATATAATCAATAGGGATAAAAATTAATTGAAACAAACTTAACCTCAAAATTAATATCAAAAAATCTGTTATATCAAAATACCAGTATTTTAGAAGTAAATTTATTGAGTTTTCTTTTTTTTTTAAATTTTATACATTATAAATTGATGATCTATGAATTTAGGCGTATTCAACAGAGTCAATTTGAAGGTTAGTTGAAGTTTTCTTCTATATAATATGTATAGTAAAGTTCTATGTTGCTAAAAACCAAAGTTTAAGAATAATTACGGGATTATAATTTGAATAAAGATTTTCCCACAGATAATTATTGTAAAGAGAATGTATTTTCCTTTGTTTCATGTGTTTTATAGTTTATTTCATATTAATTCAGTACACTTTGTTTTTTCGTATAGTACTTCTTTTTTGATTTCTTGTCAATATAGTATTTTGTCAAGACTTTTTGTTATAGAAAACATTTACTCTAGATTTTGGTATATGTAAATTAAAGATTATTGTTCAAAAATTTGTATTTTAATGTCTTAGATTTTTTCTTAATTTCTCGGTTATAAATTCACAGTTGCAATTTCTTAGAACAAACTTTATGCCTTGAAACGTCAGCAAAAAAAAAAAAAATGATGACAAAAGAGAATAAAACGAACACGAGGCTAATAGTTTTTCTGTCATTTTCTCTATAATTAATATTAATATATAACTTGAAATTGAAATAAATTTTAGAACTCTGGAGGTGGAATGTATTCCGAGTGGGCCTCATTAAGTTCCTTAATTCAACAAGGCTCTGATGACAGTCAAAGTGTTTTGGAAAAATTTTCACCAGGTGTTGGCCGAGAGGTTGCATTGTCAATTGTTCGACAATTGTCTGCTAATCTTGGCATTGCCCAAGCTGCTGAACCAAGTGCATTAAATACAGATCGTGAAATACAATGGTGTATGGAAGTTATTTGTTTTGGACTTTCATTGCCATTAACCGAACACGATACAGTTCGAGATTGCGTGAATGTTTATTGTGAATGGCTCTCGGCGCTTTATTCATCGCCAAAAATCTCCGTACCAAGGCCAATTTTAGAGGATTCAAATTTTTATGCAAGAAAAATCATCAGTCACTTTCATAATTTATTTGTTCCAAGAAGAGGAGAAGGTATGATAAAAAAAATAAATAAATATTACATTATTTTTAATTGCAAGCATTATATACATTTTATATACTTATATATATATATATGATGTATTCCACGCCAAAGTGTATGTCCATCTGCAATTGCATCTCCGATTTTTTTATTCTTTTAGTACTAATTGAGACTAGTTTCCATGAATTTTTTAAAATTTTTTTAGCAAGCCGTTTTCGAGTTATGGAATTTTGAAAATTGGAGAATTATCATGACATTTAATTTTTGAATGCTCATAACTTCCTTAAAAATGCATCAATTTTGAAAGTTATATTTTCAAAATGTGCGTTTTTAAACGTACTTTTCAAAAAAAAATCGAAATTTTTTTTTAAATGATATTATTATCAAATTTTTGAGTTTTAATGATAAAAAGTCATTTTTCTAATTTGAAGTACTGATCGATTTTTTTCAAAATTTATTCAAAAAAAACTACTTCTTTTTACGAAACTTTTAAGCCTAGCCCAACAATGGGCAAACGATTTTTACAATATTTTCGGAATTTTTCAAAAAATTTTGAATTTTGAATTTTTAAAAAATATTTTTGGTTTTTTTTTTATACTACGTACTTTTATGTATTTTGATGTACTTAGTACGAAAATCATAGTGACAATACCCAAAAATTTTATTTTTATGGTGAAAACCATAAAAAAGTCCTCAAATTTATGTTTTTTTTCGTTAATTAAGTAAAATATGCAAAATTAAAAAAAAAGTGTTCAAACAAAAGTTATAGATCTTATTAAAATACATTTTTTATATATGATGCATTTTTTTTTAATTTTGGATATTTTACTTAATAAACGAAAAAAACCATAAATTTGAGGACTTTTTTTTATGGTTTTCACCATAAAAATAAAATTTTTGGGTATTGTCACTATGATTTTCATATTAAGCGCATCAAAATACATAAAAGTACGTAGTATAAAAAAAAACCAAAAATATTTTTTAAAAATTAAAAATTCAAAATTTTTTGAAAAATTCCGAAAATATTAAGAAATTGTTTGCCCATTATCGGGATAGGCTTAAAAGTTTCGTAAAAAGAAGTAGTTTTTTTGAAAAAATTTTGCAAAAATCGATCAATACGTCAAATGAGAAAAATGACTTTTTATCATTAAAACTCAAAAATTTGATAGTAATATCGTTTAAAAAAAAATTTCGATTTTTTTTTTGAAAAGTACGTTTAAAAACACACATTTTGAAAAAAAAGACTTTTAAAATTGATGCATTTTTAAGGAAGTTATGAGCATTCAAAAATTAAATGTCATAAAAATTCTATAACTCAAAAACGGCTGGCTAAAAAAATTTGAAAAAATTCATGGAAACTAGTCTCAATTAGTACTAAAAGAACAAAAAAATCGGAGATGCAATTGCAGATATGGACTTACACTTTGGCGTGGAATACATCATATATATTTAGAAATTGCACTTTATTTTAATACACTTTTTCTCGCAGTTTGGCCATTTTTGTATCAGGATTTAGGTAAATAATTGAATCGATATTTCTATTTTTAATTTTTTGTCTAGAAAAAAAAAAAATATTGCTCTTAATTTTTCGAAGCATTTTAGTAAAAAAAATTTTTGTATTGTCTCGCTTTTATATATTTAATGTCTCTTAATATGTGCATTTTGGTAGTTATGTATTAAGGTTTCTAAAGGTAAATTTTCACAATTTTCTTTAAATATGGTAAAAAAATTGTTCCAATTTAATACGAAATATTATTTACTGTGTGGGAAAATTTGGAGATATATCAATATTTTCTAAAATTTGTTACCTTGAATTTTCAGTGGATTTAATTTTTTTAAAGCCTAATTAAATGCAATTTAAATGTATACAAATGAAAACATTAAATATAAATTTTATATTTAATAAAAAAAATCGATACCTCGATATTATGTTTCTTTATAGTAAGATTAAAAAAATTTTCCCTCTAATTCACTAAATTTTCATTCAACCGGAATTTTTATTTGACATAATTGATATTTAAGAAAATTGTAACTAAAATGAATTTTCAAATTCAAAATTTTGTTTAATAAAAATTCGATAAAAGTTGCATTAATTGGAAATGTAAAATTGAAAATTCACGAAGCTGAAGTACGCAACGTTTATGATAAACGATTTTTAAAGAAATAACTTTTTAAAATGAAAAATTCTATAATTTTTGACCTAAAAAATATTTCTTGTAGTATCAACAAATTATAAAAAAATATTTTTTAGGCAAAAAATTATAGAATTTTTATTTTAAAAAATTATTTCTTAAAAAATCGTTTATCATAAACGTTGCGTACTTGAGCTTCGTGAAAATTCGGTGAAATAAAAATTCTTCTACTTAAAAATTGGGTTAATTACAAATTCTGTTAAACTAGAATAATTTTTGCTAAATGAAAATTCTGTTTAATGAAAATTTGACTAGCTGGAAAGTTTATTTGGCAGAATTTATACCTATTTAATAAAGTTTGTACTAATTCGTAGTTTTAAAATTTAACTATTTAATAAATATTCGGTTAGATAAAAGTTACATTAAGAGGAATTGTTAAACTAGTGTTCAGGCAACATGAACATTTTTTTGTTATATGCATAAGTTCCTTGATTTTTAAAACTGAATTTTGGACCAATATTTTTTTTTATTTAGTCTAGTAAATTTTCAATTTCAAACTCTGGTTTTAAGACAAAAAAAAACACGAATTAGTTTCGCTAAAAATCTTGTTTAAAAATAAAAAAATCATAATTTTTTAAGAAAAAATTTGGTCCTCAAAGGTTTAATGAAAAATTTTCTAAATGGAAATTTGACTTTATGAGATTTGATTCACTGTTAAGTCCTACGGTTTTTGGAAAATATTCATGCATCTAAAAATTTCAATATTTAAAAGAGAAGATAATTTTTAAATAACTTTAAAAAATCATAAATATAAATTCTTTTTTTTTAATTTTTATTTGAAGAAAAGTAATTTTTATACGATGTTTTGAATTAAAATTGGAATGTATTTTTAAAGAGTATGGAAAACAGATCAGATTTCTTTCTTTCAAATATTTAAATCTAATTTTTCGAGTCATTCTAATGTACATTTTAAGAATGATGGGTTTCTTGGCTTTTAATTCGGTTGAGGGTCTTATAAAATTTTCAAATTGTTTTAGAACCTTAAGGCAGTTCACCTCTGCAATATTCTTGATCAAAAATCATTACTGAGACTCGAATATATATTTAGAATAGCATGTTTAAATTAATTTATATTTCACAATTTCAAATAATTTGGGAATCTAAAATATAAATATAAGATTTTTGTATTGCCAATTTAGGTTTCACTGAAAAAAAGAATTCTTATTTCAAACGTTTCGACATTTTTTTGTGCCTTCATCAGTGAACTTTATTATCTGTAAGCAAATAGAAAAAAAAGTATTCGTTCAATTTGAAATAAGAATTTACTTGTTCTTTTTTTCTATGTATCCCAATGCAAAAAAGAAATTTTACAAATTATATTTCGAGTTAAATAACGGAATAAATTATTATCTATGTTTATAATATTGTAATTTTTTATTTCTTTCTTTTACATATTTCACCTGTGTACTATCTTTTGGTTCTTGTGTTTAATATTTATTCAAATTATAAATGTTTTGTAAATGTCTTTAAAATAAAAAAATAATAGAATCTCAAAGATTAGAAATGAAGGTATAATAATTTTCATTATTTATTTATTTAGGAACCGATACAATAAATAGACAGGCGGTCCTCTGTCATAGAGTACTTCGAACTTTACAACAAGTTGCTCGAGGTCCAGCTACATTGGAAAGAGAAACATGGGAGAGTCTTCTTTTATTTCTCATAGGAATAAATGATGCGCTTTTAGCTCCACCAGCAGTTAGAGAAGATGCTGGAGAACAACTTTGTGAAAGAGTTCTTGGCGTTTTACTCGAAGTATGTAATGTTATTTAATTTTTAAATACCTCGAAATTAACAAAAAAAAAAAATCCAATTAATGATGAACCAAATTTTTACACTGTTTATAAAAATTTATTCCATTAGTTTTATTTAAAATAAAATGTCTACTTAATTTAATTTTTCTATTTTGAAATTTTTGGTGCGAATTTAAAAATTAAATCACAATTTTCTTAATAAATTTTGTATTCATTATTTTTTAATTTCGCAATGGAATATTAGGACAAATATTTATGGCTAAAAAAGAATTCTAAAAAAGAATTTTAAAAAGAATTCTGTTAAATTCGTTTTTTAATTAATTAAAAGGTTTGGCTCGTGGCGTGTGAAAAAAGTTTTCCTTCGCCTCCATTATGGAAAACATTGAGAGAATCTTGTCTTCGATGGCGTCACAGACTCGCTCTTATTGAACAATGGAATCGAGTTTGTCTTGCTCTAACAGCTCGACTTTTACAAATTATGTATGGACCAATGTTTCCCGAATTAAAAATCAGTAAGTTAAAAAATAAAAAAATAAAAAAAAAGTTCACAAAATAATTTTTTTGGCCTGAAATAAAAATAATTTTAAAAATTATTTATAATTTTAAAAAAAGGCAAATAAATATTTTTAAACGGGCAATTATTTTATATTGATTTAGAGAAAATGAATAAAAAAGAAATTAGTAATTTTTAGTTAAAATTTTTTTTTTTTATGTCAAGTTTTGTTGATTTTGATGTTCATATTGTCATGTAAATTGGTAATAGGTGAGGAGGATTCACAGCTGGTGCCACATACAATGTCAAACGAAGCAGTTGCACAAGCTTGGTACAGACTTTTACGAACAGTTGGCGATCCAATTGATTTATGTAGGCCGGCAGTAATATCACAAACTCAAGCATTTTTGAGATATGCAATTGCAAGTCCAAATGTTGTTGATCCATGTCAGCATCCATGTCTTCAAGCGTTGCCTCAAATATTTCTCAAAGCCATCAAAGGTATTGCCGGACAAGTCGACGCATTTCTAGGTAAGAATCTTTTTTTTTATATGTAAGTAATAATAAAGGCATTTCGCATGAATTAAAATAATTTATTTCATTTTATTTATTTTTATAATTGTGTAGATAAATTATTTTTTTTATTTATTAAAATAAATTATTTAAAATTTAATTGACCAGGACAATTATTCCGGGAAAATAAACGATTTTTCTATTTTCTGCTTTGTTAAAAAAATCGGAATATTAAAAACATTTTAACAAAATTATCGAAATTTTAAATAGAGACAGACGAATATTCATTAAAGTTAAACTAAATTGACTTTCCTGCAAATCTTAATTTATAAGATTGAATTTTCTTTTAGCCAAATGAATTCTTCTATTTAATGAACATTTACTCAATTAAAGATTATATTAAATGAAAATTCAGTCTGATAAAAATTTTTATAAAATGGAAAATCGGTTAAATATAAACATTTTGTATATTTTGCAATGTAATTTTTTTTTTATTTATCAAAATAAATTAATATTTTTACTCTCGTATATTCAATAAATAAATAAACAATTAATTTTTAGTAACTAGGTAAAAAGCCTTCTTAAAATAATGAATTTTTTTTTTTTAAGTATACATGAAACTTCTATAATTGTAAATAATTGTAAATATAAAATTAAGAAAAGCAAAATGATTTCTCAGCACTTGTTTATGAAATATTGTTGAAATATTTCTGAATATATAATTATTTTTTAGATAAATATCTTGAAAAAAAGAAAATTTTTTGTTTTTTAATTAAGAATAAAAAAAATTGTTTAAAAAAAATTATTTTAATTTTTAAAATTAAAATAAAAAATAAAACTATTTATTTTCATTGAAAAAATTTTTTTTTTTATCAAAAATTGTTTACGAGATTTTTCAACAATAAATTACACTATCACTCGTAGATGCAAAAAAGGCACAAAATTTTCTGAATGAAAAAAAAAAAAAAAAATCTTTTGGAATTTTTTGGTGGTGGTTGCACGAAGAAACAAATGTTTTAGGGGTCTCACAGGCTTGTTGTTGGGAGGAGTGTTGTGTGACAAACGTCACTACAGGAATAGGAAACTCTGGTACCGGAGGTGTTGGAAATGAGAAATCTAATCCAAAGGATCAACCTCAACCTTCTCCAACACCTCCGACGCAGAGGCGACTTGCAAAAAGTTTCAGCGTCACACCTTCAGCTGTCACCAAGGGTATAATTAAAAGTTTTTCTTATTTGCACTTGAAAATTTGTTCTTTTTTTTCTATTTTTTTTTCTTTAAAATCAGGGTAGCCACAAGTCGGAAAAGTCAGGAAAATTTTTTTTTTTTTGGCAGGGAAGTCAGGGAAAAAAATTTGTTGTAAAAGGAAATTTGGGAAATTTAACAAAGTTATTTAAATTCTAACCAATCATCAATTCAATAAATTCAATTTACCCAATTTTGAATCTGTTCAAATTTTAATTTATCTAAATTTCAATTTAATGAAATTTTATTCGATTCAAATTTTCATCGAGCCAAATTTCAAATTACAATTGATCTAACTTTTAATCAATTCTAATTTTTATTGGTCAAAATCAATTTATTAATTAAAATTTTAATCAAATGCAAATTTAATTGATTAAAATTTTAAATTAACAAAATTTCAATTTATCTAAAGATTAATTGATTTAAGTTTCAAATTATTAGAATTTCAATTTGTTCAAATTTTAATTGATTTAATTTTCGAATTATCTGAATTTCAATTTATCCAAATTTTAATTGATTTAATTTTTAAATTATCCGAATTTCAATTTATATAAATTTTGATTTATTTAAGTTTCAATTTATTCAAAATACAATTTATCTTTTTAAACTATTAATGTTTTCATTTAAACTGTTAATTACATAAAAAAAAATTTTTGAGTAGAAACAAATTAGTTATTTTGCACGTTAATTGATTTTACCTATCAATTTTTTTATCACCCTTTTCTCACCTATTTTCGGTAAATAATTCTCCTATTTTTAAGAAAAAAAAAAGTACTGTGATCTTTGCTCTAGTGAAAACACTGAATTAACTTCTAATTATTTATTAGATATCTATTAAAAATCATTAAAATTAATACACAATTTTTGTCAGGGAAAATTTTTTAGTTTTAGAAAAATTTTAAAGAAATTGAAAAATTTATTCTTATGGCAACCCTGTAAATCTACCTGCGCATTATTATCAAAAATTTGCCTTTATTCTCTCATGCATTTATGAAATCAATGATTTTTCTGCATATTTCTTTATAATTATTATACATTTTTGTTTTGTTGATTTTTTGTTTTCTATAAAATTTTATTTCTGTAGAATTTTTGTTTTCATACCTATGTATACAATTTTATTTCTGTAGAATTTTATTTTTGAGAATTCCTTTTTTTTAGTCACATTATTTCATCAAAAAAGAATCTTTTCACTGTTTCACCTGCTTTGAAGAAAAAATTGGTAAACTGCGATGACTGATTTGTACTGTTGTTTGATTAATATAAATAATAATAATAGATTTATAAATTTTTAATTAATACAGGAATTCCAAAAGCCTCGTTGATTGGCTTGACGACGAGTAGAATTTCAAGCAGCCAAATAGTGATGTCCTCAAATTCAGGACCATCATCGACATCATCTACAGCCTGTAAAGCATTTTTTGAAATTAACAATTTAATTATATATATATATTTTTCCGTTTATTACTTATTATTATTATTATCATTATTATTTTTTATTAAATTTTTATTATTATTTACTATTATTATTATAATATTTTAATTATTAATATTATTGTTATTGTAAATTTTTTTTTATTTCACTTATTGAATGTCTTATTTTTATATAAAATAAAAATTATTTTTCTAACAGCTGTAACGTCATTGGGTCAAGATATTAGACCGCCTTTGGCACCGAGTCGACCAAAATGTAACAGCATTCTTCATCTTTTTGGTGAATGGCTTTTTGAAGCTGCTTTCATTGGCACTGATGGATGGTCACAAAATTTACCACGTGAGTTTTAATTGAAATACTTTAATCTTTTAAAATTCAAATAATTTTACTTTGCATTTTACTATTATAATTTTGATTTTCTTCCTCCAATCTAATAAATTTAACAAGTTTATGGTATAGTATTGAAATTAAAATTTTATTAAAATAAAAAAATAGCAAAATTTTGTTACCGAAAACTTTTTATGTAAAATTAATTCCCATTAAAATCATTTCTATTTAATTGAATTTCAATTAAATTTTCATTTCATTGAATTTTTATTGAATCTAATTTTAATATTTTGGCAAAATTTTCATCTAACCAAAATCGATTATTTTTCTTTTTAATAATCAAATTTTATAATGAGAATTTAAATAATTATTCTATTTTTAATATAAAATTCTCCTCAATAAAAATTTTTTTAAAATTAAAATTTTATGCAATAAAATATGTAAAAATTTTACTTTTTTAAAATTTGGTTAAATTGAAATTCTATTTGGAAATTTCGTTAGATTAAAATTCGGCTAAATGAAAAATTTTATGAAACACAAAATTGATTTTTGGAATATTTATTTTCCGAGAAAATAAATTTTCAATAAATAATTTATAAAATATTATAAATTTTATTCTTTTTTATTTTTGTTTCTTTCAGAACCAACTGGCGCCTCAAAACGACCATCGTCAATTTTAGTTGATGGACCATCATCATTGCAAGACACAATCAATGATGTTCCATCGTCACTTGTAATTGATCGTTATGAATCGGGTCGGGCCGAGGCAATGGGTGCGCTTTGTCGAATTTTTTGTGCAAAAAAAACTGGCGAAGATATACTTCCCGTTTATTCGGCAAGATTTTATCAAGCAATGTATCATGGACTCAAGACAAATGAAAACAAAGAATGTGGTGAAACTTTAGCGAGTATTTTATTAAATTCCGCTGATCTCTTTCGTCTTGATCTCGATGGTATTCAAGTATTAGTACCGGCAGTATTGTCCGCATTGGAAGCTGTTTTGCCCGAGAAAGATTTACGTCTCAAAACAAATTCAGTGTCAAAAATTGAATTGCGACGTGCCTCTATTAATTTATTGATATCGATGTTGGCCTTGCCCCTCCATTTTCAGGTAATTAAATTATTTTTACTTTTTTAAAACAAATTATCAAATAAAAATTTTGTAAATTCTAACAGGAATTAGGAAAAAATTGAATGGAAAAAAAATTTTCATATATAAAAAAAAGGAAAATTTTTTCCGTTAGGTATGATAAGGTGAAAAGTCATTCTTGAAACTTTAAAAAGTGAAAAAATGACGTGAATTTAGTTATATGTATTATGAAAAAACCGTCAATTCATATTTATTTATTATTATTTTAAAAAATGATATTTCGATTTTTTTCAAATTAAAACTTGTTGCTATATTTTTTGTCTACTTTTGACGTTAAAAATTTTTGAAAAAATCAAAATTTTATCAAGAATTGTGAAATTCAATTTTAGAACTAATTTTTTCATAAAAGTAAATTTTGAGAAATTGAAAATTGTATTTGAATAATAATAGACAAAATTGATATTTAATAAAATTTTTGTTCTAACAATATTTTTCAAAATAATTGATAATTCTTTTATTTTGAAACAAATTTTCAACCTTAAAATTTTTGCAGTCTAAATTTTGAAAAAGCAAAAAAGAAAATATTTGAAATAAATTTTTCCAAATATTTAGAATAACATTTTTTTTTTAATAATTTGCATTTTTTAAAATCAGTCACAACATTTGTTTTTTCAAAAGTCGAATTTTCAATAGGATATTCTTGCAACTATCTTTTAAACAAATATATAAAGAAAAATTTATTTTGTATATAAATTTTTAGAAAAATTGTGAATTGAATAAATTTTAATATTTACATTATTATTATTATTATAATTATTGTTATTAATAATTTAAATGTATTGAAATTATCTGCTTTAAGAATCTTTCAATAAGGGAACTGCCAAATGGATATTCACTTAATTCTGACAAGAATCAATTTACATTTGCCCAGTTGAAACCAAGACTCATGAATTTATTAATTAACGCCTTACAAGTGGAAACTGATCCACAAAATACTCACATGCTTTTGGGTAAGACAAATATTTGTATTTTAAAAGTAAATTTTTTAAAATTTTATATCCAGAATTTAAATAATTTAGAATTTTTTCGTCTATATTGGGGAAAATAAAAAATTATTCCAAAGAAAATGAAGCGAAATTTGAATTTAATGAAGTTTTACTTCAATACATTGAAATTCTAATTTTTCTTTTAATTACAAAAATTTTAGGCGGTTTATTGTTAAGCGTTCAAGATTCAGCGGCCGCCGAAGAAGTGGAACAAGTTACTCAACCCGATATTATTCCAAATGATAATACAACGAATTTACTTTCATCAGGTGAGAGCTTAAATTTTTTCAAAAAATTTTTTTACTGCATCTATTTTTTTTTTAAATATTAATTTCGATATATTTTATACAATTAAAGTTATTTATGCTTGAAATTGAGAATAATTAATTGAATTAATGGTTAATTAATATTATTTTTTGACAATATAAGCATAAGTAGCTTATTTTCAGTTTTGCATTTTTTTTAACACTCGGCGCTAATAAATAAATAAAAAAAAAAAAGAATTGCACTTGCGCGATAATTTTATTACGCTTCTCACTTGCTTTTGTGTTTTGTATTTTTCTCTTCAACATTTTATTATGGATTGCGTATACTCTCTATCTCCATATATTCTGCCAATTTGATCATCGCGCGCTTTGAATATATAGTCACCAGCGATTCAACCAGTCAAATAAGCATTTCCAGTGATCATCGTTCATTTGGCGATTCCTCCGATATTTCGACACTTCAAGAAGAAAGCATCGCTTTTGGTAAATAGAGTATTTTTATTTGTTTTTGTATTGAAACATTTTTTTTTTTCTATTTTTTATTTCATTTTTTGTCTTCTCTGCCAGTATTTTAATGCCGCTAGTATTGCTGATTTTTATAAGTTTTTTATGTGCATTTGTTATGAAGATTTTTTTTTCAAATTTTAATTCTCTTTTTGATTCGATTAATTTTTTTTCAAGGTCAATATAACAAGTCTCTATTTAAAAAATTAGAGAGGCTATATAATTTGAAGAAATTAAAGAACACAAATTTATTTATTTTTTAACTTTGAAAAAGGGAAAAGTTTATTTTATAAAGAAACAGAAGGATTAAAATCAAAATTATTTTAAGTTGAAAATAATTTTCTTTGTATTTTTTTTTTTTTATAAAGTTTTGGATATGAATAATAGAAAGAAGTATATTTATAGAAAAAACAACTATTTATATAAGAGAAAAATATTTACATTAAAAAAAAAGAAAAAAATTTTTTTGTGTTCTGTGAAAACTTTACCAATTTATTTCTGAACAATTTTTCTTGTTTCAGATTCGGCACATGCTCTGTTTGTAAGAGCAACTTATTTAGTTTGTCACAGACTAATTTCATCCTGGAAAACGGATCTTAATATTTCGTTAGCTGCATTAGAAATGCTTTCGGGTCTCGCGAGGACACGAATTCGAGAGACAGGTGAGAAAATAAAAAAAAAAACTTGTTTAGTTTTTTTTAACTGAAAAATGATTTCTGAATTTGAAAATTGAATTTTATATTTGGGGGTTTCTTTTTGGATAAAATATAAAATTGAATTAATAAATATAGATATTATTATAAACAATTATTGTTATTAGATACTAAATAAATTTTATAAATTTCTTTAAAGAAGAAGGTTTTAAAAGAAATTAATTTCCTTATTTTAAAACATTGTTTAAATAAGTCTGATTTATGAAATTTATTCAAATTAAGAATTTCAGCAAAGATTTGAGTTTAAACGATTAAAACAATTTTCAATCACTTTTTTAAGGGGATGCATCACTTTTATTTTGATTTCTTTAAATTTTAGAATTTAAATTTTTAGAAAATCTCGCATAGATTTTCAAAAATTTCAATTTTTTAAAAAAAGAAAGGAAAAATTGAGTTAACATTTTAATTAATCTTTTCTTTTAAATATTGAACTACATTTACAAATTTGACTATTTTTCATTGACAATTTTTGACATGCTTTTTTAATGATTCTTTAGAATCTTATTGCCAAAAAAAAACAACTTTTTTATTGTTAATGATGTTTAGAGGCTTTTTACAGTTAAGATGTTTATTTATTGTTTGACATAAAGTTGTTACAACATGTTTCGGCTATTTTATTGTTTTATTGTCAACTTTTTTATTGTTTATCCATTTATTATTCATTAAAATTTTTTTTATTCTAATTATTAAATAATTCTAAATTTTGTCTTATTTCCTTGTAAGCAGCAAGGAAACTCACAGGTGTGAATTGATCGATTTCATTTTTGATGGTTTTAAAATTTTTCTACTATTTCGATATTTATATCTATTCATTATTTTGGTATATTTATTGATTTTTCAGATGCCTTGGAATGTAAAAGAGCTGTAAAATGGCTTTGTGATTATATCGCTTATCAATGTTGGCGACCACCTCCTTCTCATTCGAAAGATCTTCATTCATCGATTGTCGCTGCTTTTTCATGTTTAACCACTTGGCTCACAGCACATCCCCAACTTTTACAGGTTTTTAGCTCGTCTCTTTATTTATTTTAATATTTGTCAAAAAAAATACTTTTTTAATAACGAAATCTTACTGTAAATTTAATGAAATATTTTGGAATTTTTTTATTCTGAAGGATAAGGATTGTTTGGCGACAGTTTTGGAAGTTGTTGAACTTGGAGTTTCGGGGACTAAAAGCGTTGGAAAGCCTGGTGAACCGATAAAAATGAAAGATGAAAAAGAATTGAAACCAGCTTCAATGAGAGTTCGAGATGCTGCAGATGCGCTTCTTACAATTATTCTTGAACAGGTTTGTAAATTTGAAAAATAATTCAGTAAAAGAAAAAAGAAAGTAAAAATATCTCTGGGAACTTAAATAAATAAATTTGGTTTATTGTAATTTTTTTTTTTTTATTTGTTTCTTGAGGAATTAAGACAAGAAAGTGAATTTATTTTAACAGGTGGGATATTTTCCAAGTGCTTGCGGTACACAATCTTTGTCGTCGTTGCTCGATGAAGTTTCACTTTTAAAACATTGCAATAGTTGGCCAGGTGGTCGGGTACCTCGACAAATTGCTGTCGAACGTTTTCGTTATTTTGTCGCCGAGAATGCAACAATGTTGGCATTATTGGAAGAACCCTTGGGTAACGATCAAGATCCACAACCAACTGTCACTGTTTTAATTCGTGGTCCATTTGGTCGACACGCGTGGACAATGCAATTACGACATTTACCACGACATAGATCAAGTGTCAGGAGTATAAACACAAATCCTGGACGTCCATTGCCATTATTGGAACCAACACCACGAATGGATTATAAACCAAAATTTTTCCCCGATAACGTCGACAGAATTCCTCATTGTAAAGTGTACGTAGAATTTGTTTTTAATTTAAATCGAGTATGTTTTTTTTTTAAATTTAATTTAATCGTGGAGCAACTTTTCAAAAGTCGATAAATTCATTTTTCAGGAAAGTAGAGATAAACGCAGATTTAACATATTAAAGATCTCTTAAATTTACTGGTTATTTGACAAATTTGTTTTTTCTCAAAATGATTTATCAATTTCTGAAAACTTACTTCTCGAACATATTGGCATTTGTTTTTTATTTAAGAACGTTTTTCGGATACTATTAAAAAAAAAAAAATTCTTTCAAATTTTCTTGAAATTTTGTGAAAATGACAAAAGTGCCCAAAATTTCAGAATCTTTTGCAATCAAAAGAAAATTTAAAATTAAAAACAAAAAAATATTAAAAATTTTTATTTTTAAACATAAATTAAATAATTATAAATTGAACAAAAGCTTTATATTTAGATTATATTTCGTTAACTGAAAATTATAAGAATTTTAAAAAGCTCATCATTTTTTGAAAATTATATTATTATTTATTAATTAAGCTTCAGCCTTTCGGCCCAGAAGTGGTTTTGGTTTAATACAAAATTTTTTGAAAATTATTTAAATTTTTAACAATAAACTGTAATTTTTTCTTAAATTCAATTATACTGTATTTTCAATCGTTTTAAAAAATCAATTTTTAAATATTAATTTTGTTAAATTTTTTTAATCTATTTTTTAAGTGTTTTTAATTTCAAATTTTTGTGTTAATTCAATAATTTTCATATTTAATATTTTGTAAACTTAATTATAATGTTAGAGATAATTAATTTTATTTCTTTTCCAATTTCTACAAATTTAAAAAAGTTTGAATGAAAAAACACTATGAATTCAGTAATAATAAAATTCAACAATTTAATTTACAAAATAATAAAATTTGAAAATAATTACCTAAATACAGAAAATAATTTAACAAAAAAAAAAAAAAAACTGAGAACTTTATAATATAAATTTATTGATTCTCTACCGACAAATAATAAAATTGATTCAAAAATAATCTTCTTCAAAATAATATTCGCATTTGAAATTTTTTTCTTGAAAAGTTTTCTTGAAAAATCTAAAATAATTTTCTATTTAAAATGAAAACTGTTTTCTACATTTAGCGATGACTCAATACCAAATTTAGACGTTGTAATGAATGAGAATGATATTCTCAAGAATGATCATAAAACATTATCGCATTTATTGGAACGACAAATCGATTTGGAATTAAAATTTAGCGAAGAATCAGAGACAAAATCGAGGGAAAAAATAATTGACGAATGTATGCCACCTCAGGTGTGTCATGAGTTTCAAACAGCGAGATTATTTCTCAGTCATTTTGGATTTTTAAATTTGGAACCCAAAGAAGCAAATGAAAATTCAACAACCGGCGGTGGTTTAATAGCATTGGATTCAACACTTACTGGTTTTTGTACAGATCTCGAGAATCTTGATCGTATTAGTCCAAGAACTTGCGATACTGTTCATATTTTTTATGTCAAAGCTGGACAAAAGAATCCCGAAGCTATTCTATCGAATGTGGTAAATATTTTGTTTTCTTTAATATTCTTGTTTCTTTTTAAGTTTTTTAATTGTTATTTAAAAAAAATGGTAGGTATCTTAAAATTAAAAATATTTAATTTAATTACTATTTCCTTTAATTCCTAACAGTTACTTTAAATCTTTCAATATTGTTGATTCATTTTTGATACTGTACTGTTTTTTTTTTTGTTTGTTTTTTCAATACTTTATTTTTTTATTCTATTTGTTTACTTAAAAAATTTAATTTAATTTCTACAATTCTACAAAAGTTACTTTAAACCTATCAAGGTTAAATAATATTTTTCATTCATTTTTCATACTTTTTTAACGCTTTTTTTCAATACAGTATATTTTTACTTTATTGGAGGGGAAAATTTTCAAAAACGTGGAGATAAACTCAGATTTTAATATACTGTTGAATTTAAGAAAATTAATTTATTAACAAAAGAAAAATTTTAGTTTAAAAAGAAACATCTGGGCTTAACCAAAATGATTTATAATTTTATTTCTTTTTGCTAGAAAAAATTACCAAAAATCTTAAAATTCTCCAATTATGATAAACTTTAATTAACAACAAAATATCTGAAATCCAAAAAATATTTTTATATTTAAATAATTTATTACAATTTTTCTTAAAATTAATTTAACTGATTATGTGAGAAATGTAAATTTTTTAAATTTCTCGAAATAACAAAATATGGAATTTTTCTGCATTTGTTTATTTTATGAAATTATATTTTTGTTGTCTTAATTTAATTATTGTCTATATACGATTCGTGTATTTTAATTAATAGGTACACGAAAGCAATGTTTCTTCAAATTTCATGGAATTCTTGAGTGCACTTGGCTGGACCGTTTCGGTAAATTCACACGCTGGATGGACTGGTCATGTGTCAACTTCCTGGCAGGTAATAACGGAAATTAATGTTCCTCAGCCAGCGCAAAGCGATCACGGTGGATCACTTTACAATGGAAATACTCACATTTTATATTGGGCGGATGTGAGTTCCGAAATTGCCTTTGTTGTGCCCACACAATCATTGGGTGTGAATTCAGAATCTCTTGATGATACAGTTTTTAATGAATCTGGCCAAGGTGAGATTCAATGAAATTTGCCCATAATTTTTTTTCTCTATTATCTATTTTCATAAATTTGCATATATATTTTCTCCTTTAATTTTGAATATAATTAATTTTAATTACAATTTTATTTTAATTTTCTCACTAAATTGACTTTTCTATTTCCATGAATTTTGATTTCGAGTAATATTGCATATTTTCTAATTCAAATTTTTTTCTAATGAAAAAAAATGATATTGAAAATTTGTCTAAAGAAAAATTTCTTTAAATAGAAAAATTTTATTGTCAATCAAAATTTTGCTAAATGAAAATTTAATTAAATAAAAATTCAGTAAATCAAAGAGAAATTTTATCGAATGAAGATTCATTTTAATAAAAATTCGCATTCAAGGGAAATTTTCTTAAATAAAAATTTTGTTAAATGAAAATTTAATTAAATATTAATTATCATGTTGCTATTTGAAAATTAGTTAAATATAAATTCAATAAATCGTAGAAATTTTATTATAATATGAAAATTCCTTTAATAAGAAAGTGATACTTAAATGGAAATTCGATGCAATTAATATTTTGCGCTAAATAAAAATTCTAAAAATCATATTTAAATAAAAATAATATAAAAATATAATTTTAATTCAAAAATCTGCTAAATACAAATTTTGGTTTATGAGAAATTTTCTTAAAATAAAAATTATCTACTTCATTTCTTTTTAGCTTGGTTTGAGAGAAGTGCCAGTGAAAGTGCAGGCTCAAAAACATTTTCAATGTCGCCAAATACAACGATAAATTCAACAAGAACAATGTCCCTTGATCTTGGGAAACAACCTCCAAGTATAGGTTCAAATTCGTCCAATTCAAATGTTCCTAATTCCGATCCCGTCAAACCAAGAAGAACGACAAAACATTCTCTACCAGCTCAAACGGATACAAAAATTATGGTCGTTTGGTTGGAGAGTCTCGAGGATTATGCTCAATTTCCAATTGGTAATTTAATCCATTTTTTTGTGGTTTGCAAATATTTTAATTTTCCTTGAAACTTTTCTTACATTCCAATTATAAAAAAGTCGATTTTTAAAATTTTAAATAAATGTTTTTTTTTGTTATTTTTAAATTAATTATTACTATATTAATAAAATATTATTATTAAAAAATTAAATTATTATTTTAATTTTGTAGAATAATAATTATAATTAATTACATTAATTCTTTAATAAGAAAAATTACTAAAAATAATTACTAGAAATTTTTATAAGAATAATATAGAAATTGTCTTTAAAAAATCTATTATAATTTGAACAAAAATTATTTGGAGAAAACCTGAATTAGATTTATTTTTACAAATCAGGCTTGAGGAATTTTTAAGAAGGAAGGAACTAAAAATTTTTATTCCTAAGAATTGTTCACATTGTAAAATTAATGAAATTAATTTAATATTAATTTTTTTAAACAATAGTATAATAGTAATTAAAAATATTTAAAAATAATAAAATTTCCTAAAATAATTAAAATAATTTAAAAAAAAAAATATTAATAAAAAAGTGGTAAAAAATTTAATAAATATTTTTACAGCTGAACTACTTCCGTGCACAAATACAGGGCTCAGTAGCACGAGAATCGTGACAACTTCTGATGTTCACGTTATTTTCTTACAAGCTCTCGACAATGGTTTAATGAGAGTTAGATTACAAGGGCCTATTTCTAGAATTAATTTAGCCACACCTTTAATTGACGGGATGGTTGTTCCCCGAAGAGCACTGGGTAGTTTAGTTAGACAAACAACTCTAAATATGGGTCGCAGACGAAGACTTGACAACGATAGGTGGGTCTAAATTTTCTTTTTTTTCTATTTTAACCATTAAAACTAATTTTAATCTAAAATTTAAATAAATATAATGTATAATTATAATCATACTGTGCGATAGTAAAAATTAAATCGCACCGGACAATTTTTTTTCTGAAAATATACCTTTTCAATAACAAAATTCTCGTTGAGTTTTGTTACAGTTAGCTTGAACTTTTTTTTAATCGTCATTTGAATTTTTCCAACTTTAGATCATTTTTTGGTTTTTAAATTGTCATTTTTCAAACATTTGTTCTCAAAAATTGCAATGTTCACAAAAATGGGTTTATTTGTACATTGACGACATTTCTACAAAAAATCATGACGATTTAAATAGAATAAGAAAAAAAAACAGATTTGTAATTTAAAATTTTTGTATATGAAAAACCACAACTGGAAATTTATTTTAAAAAAATTCTTTTACTTAAACTTTTAACAAAAGAAAAAAATAAATAAAAAATACTTTTTTTTTACCAAAACATTACAAATAAAGCAAAAAAAAAAAAAAAAAAGTATAAACCTTTTACCAGTAAAAAGGTGACAAATTTCTTAAAATAATGTTAACATTTTATAGAATATTAACAGTAGGGAGCGTCAAAGTCGGAGTAATTAAATTAAAAGTCTTCCTTGCTATTATTTAAAATACAATCGAGTGATAAATTCTGAATTCACATTATTTGATAAAGATGAAAAAACAAACGCGCTCATTGCTTAGGTTTTTTTTTTGTCAAAAAAGCTATCCAAACTGATTTCGAAAATTTTTTTTATTTTATTATTTAAGAAAAAAGAAATTACGTAAACACCATTTCCCACAGAAAATATTAATCCAAATGAAAAAATTTTCGTACAAAGAATTAACATCCAATAAAACTACAAATTACCCAAGTTTAAGCACGATTGGAGAAAATTACCAAATTTTTTGACTTTTTTTTTTAGGTTTTCTTTAAAATTTTGGTTAAATTAATTAATTTTATTATTATTTCAGTTATCATCCACCTCACGTACGAAGACGATTAAAAATCCAAGACATGGTATTCAAGTATAAACGAAACTTGGAACAACCAGAATTGTTATCCCTTCTTTTTAATAACACGTAAAAAAGTTTTAAAGGTAAAAATATTAAATTTATTACATATTCTAAAGTGTAATATCAAAAAAAATTATATATGAATTTAATTATGTTTTCTATTCTATTTTTACAGAATTTTATTTGTTTGTTGTATTTTAAAAGGAGGTAATAATCTCGTAACTTTAATTTTAACAATATATTGCAATTGTATTTTACTATAAAAAATATTTTTGCAAATTATTATATTATTAAAAAATTTGGATTTATTTTCTATATTATGAAAATATAAAAATTCATTTTAAAAAATTCAATAACTGAATTATTAAAAAAGAAAATGTATAACAGATTTTAGGATTAATATTACATATATTATATAATATTAATTTAATTATTTTCTATATATTTACAAGGGGATTTTTTTTTAAATTAAAAATTTTTTTTGCCTGTAAATGTCGACAAATTTTTATTATTGATGCAACAAACATTACTTTCTTTATTATAAACATTACTTTATTATTTATCTACCGATATATTTATGTTTCAAGTTAGTATTTGTTTTTTTTTACTATATTTTCATTATATGAGAAAGTATTATTTTATTGTTTATTTAACAGTAAAGAATTTTTTTTTAATTAATAATAATTTAATTTTAATATATTTATGTACATAATATATATATATATATATGAAATATTGTATAGGCGATGTAACGCAAAATTGAATTTTTAAATATAATGTAATTTATATTTTAATAAATAATCACATTTTTAATAAAAAGAAAAGTTTAATTTAATTAGAAAATAATTACATTTATTTATCTATCAATTTTACAATTATTGTGAGTAGAAATTTTACTATTTATATGAATTTTGGGTCTTTTTATGGTTTTTACCATGAGAAAAAAAATATATTTAAAACCATTTTTTTCAAAATAAACACGTAATTTTTAATTAAATTTTTTTTATTATTTCATTGAGTTTTTTTTCTCCAATAAACTATGTAAATATAAAAATAAGACAATGGGTTTGCGAGAAAATGTGAAAAGCGGCAAAAAAATTGATTTTCTTTTTTTTTTACATTTTCTCGCAAACCCATTGTTGTTCTATTTTTATATTTACATATTAGTTTATTGGAAAAAATTTATTTTTCAGCTTTCCAATGAATATAAATAAAAAAAAATTTCAAAAGATAAAATAAAAATGAAAATTAAGGGTTGTTTTTTTTTATATGGAAAACTAAATGAAACATAAAAAAAACTGTTTACACTATAATTCAAAATTCTATAATTTTAAAATATTATATTTTTTTTTAATTTCATAAAGAATGAATGACATATTTAGTGTAAAAAATTTTTTGCATTTAAATGTAGATTTTTTTTTTCTAGTATAGGATCTATTTTCAAATAAAACTATTGGTATATCAGACACAAATAAAAGATAAGCATGAAAGTGATAGCGTGTGGAAGAAATATTATCAGGAAACATAAACATAGTGTTGGGTTTAAACGAATGAAGGTACAGAGATATTCATTCTTTTTCTTTATATAATGTCTCTACTTCCTTTTTTTTAAATCGTTAAAAATAGTTTAGTTAAAAGAAAAAAAAAAGATACAATTACAGAAAATTTATATAAGACTTGAAATTTTTTTTTTTTATCAGATGTACAGGAACGTAAAAAACATATATATATGTATACTATATAATATAGTGTGAAAGTCATCAACACAATGACTTGTTACTTTTTTGTATTCTGAGATTATTTGTCATAATTATTGTCAATAAATATTACAAATTTTTCAACAGTTAACGTTAGAATACAGAAAAAACGGTATTTTTCTAATGTTGCATAATTATAATCTTCTTATGTAACAAATTTAAAGGTGAGAAAAATAGAAACTGAATTTTTTTCTCTTTCAAGAAAAAAAAAAATTAAATGAATACATTTTTTTTATTAATTTATAAATACGTTATTTATTGACTTCGGCCTTTTGGCCCAGAAGTGGACTTGATTTTATACAAATATATATATTTTATTAATTCATATTTAAATTTTTCATTTTTTTCTATAATTATATATTTAAAATAGTGATATTTTTGGATTTTTCATTAATAAAAGTAGAGTATCTAATTGATATAATAAATCCTACTGATGAAATCTGTTAAGGTTATAACACTACAAATGATAGTGTTTACAACAGTTTTTTTTTTTTTTATTGTCGTTGAATTGCATAACTATTTAATTTGTACAACAATTCCCTAGCACTTTAAAACTTCCATAAATGATGTGACCTCGCTGTGTGTATACGCGGCTTTTCTGCACGCTTGGCAATTCAATTGAAAGGTTACCATAACATTGAAACTTATTATAAATAATGAAATATTTTTTTTATTCAATTTTTAACTATACATTTTATATGAGATTTGTATAATTTTTCTCTATATATAAGATTTCAGTGTTTTTATTTTGCTTTTCCATATCAAATATACTAATAACATAACCTTAAAATTAATCTCATATTTTAACTTCAATATATAAATTTTTAGAAAGAATTTCTAATAAAAAAAATAATTTAAAAACCATTTTTCTTTAAAGTTCTTTATTATTTTAAAAGTAACACATATACATACATTTTTTTAGAAAACTATTACAGATCTTATTTATCGGTTTAATGAACTAATCAACTAATTGCACTTGGTTTTATTTCTTATCTTGATAATTTGACGTATAATTATTTATGTATTGCAGGTATTTAGTATATATCATTTTCATCACTGTAGTGCCCTCTAGATATACTATATTTATTTGAAATATTGATTAGCTTGCATTTTCCAGCAATGTATTACAGCAAAGAATTGTATATGAAAAAATATGTTTTAAATTTACAAATAAAAATAAAAAAAATAGAAATTAGGTATCCTCTAAATTTAAAATCTGTGAAAAATCTAAGAATATAATGCGCATGGCTATTTTTTCATCCAATAAAATAATGGCGCAAATTTCAAATTTTTTGGTGTATTTTAAAATTCAGATATCTCGCGCCATTATTTGATTGGTGGATTAAAAATAAGCCATTTTGGGGATGCGCATCCTTTGCACTTGAGGGGGAAAATGCAGAGAGGAATGAAAAATGCACATTTCTGGCACATGCGCAATAAATAAAGAAAATGACAGCAATATATATATATATATGAATAAACACACACACATCTTTATAAAAGCACTAACACACATTATTTTTCAGTTACACACGAGGTTGTGAGCCGAACTCACCGGAAAAACGCGATTACTCGCGAACTTGAGTCCATCGCTTTCAGCATTAGCATTACTATAGTGTACTTATTTCCATTAAAAATTTCCTTATACATATACACAAGTGATTTATTCTTCCAAATTTGTTTATTTCTAAATTTAGTAAAAATTTGTGATTATCGTCAATTCTTTTTTTTTTCTATTTTTGCAAAATTGTTTTAAACTCAAGTTGAAATGAAAGAACGGACGGTCAATTATTATTTGTAAAAAAAAAAAACCCCTTCAGTCGACATTGATGTGATTTCAATTAAACAGGCCATAGGTAGTAGGAGTGAAGTTGAATTAAAATAAGTGAAAAATCGGCTGTTTTGTGTCAATTGTGATTGTTGTGAAACTCGTAGACGCGGAGATAAATGTGTCAGAATGGAGAATCATACTTTTGACGAATTTTGTGGCTCCAAGTTTTGGGTAAGTTTTTTTTTTCATTGTGTGCCATTTCATACACGCTCTATCACATGAAATATTTTAAGAGAAGGAACTTTTTGTTTAATTTAATTAATTTATTATTATAAAAAATTAATTTTTCTATTAGAAAAGTTAATTTAGTTTCCCTCATTTAAAAAAAAAAAAAGGGGTTTATTGTTTTCTTGACCACTTTTCACGCGTGATATTTAAATATATATATATATACAAAATTTACATATATTGCGGTTTTAGACACACCGTTATTGCGCTATATTGTAATAGGGTTTAGGTTATAAGTATCGAGGAACTTTTTTTTTCTTTGTATTTCTCTTTTCGCAAAAAAAAAAATCTTAGTGACACCATTGAATTTTTTCGATTCGAATTCGAAAAATTATTTAATAATGAATTAATTGATATCTATATTTCTTGAAATTATTTTACAAAAAAATGGAATTTCTTACTAATTTAAAATTTTTTATTTAAATATAATTCATTTCTTTTAATTCGACAATTTTCTTTATTAAGATTTTAAAAAATCGGTAAATTTACTCAATTTATTTAATTGAAAAACGATTAACGTTTATTTGTAAAAAAATATTTTATCGAATGCATTTATCGCAATATTTGATAAAGTATTGAGTAATTCCCTTATAAAGTTAAAACAAAAAGTTAATAGTTAGCAATATAACTTTCATCGTTGGCGAAAGAAATGCACGTCTTGTGTATATATATATAGAATATAATCAAAGCTCAAGGTTAAATTTTTCTGATGTATATCCTTTGAGTATACATAAGATTTTTACACAAAGAATTTCCATTCAAGTAGTTTTTAATAATTAATTTTAATAGTTTTTAATTTTTAAATTGAATGCTCTCATTAATCATTGACACAATTCGTGATGTATATATATAAATATATTCTTGAAATTCAAACTCTCCGATTGAAGATTGAAGAAGAAAAATAATTATAATGAATATAAAACAATGTTAAATATATTAATCTCAGTTTTCTATGCCCTTGCTTGTTGTTAATATTCAGAATTGAAACAATTATTTCCAGTGGCTATCAACATTAAAGATTACGTCAGTTTCTAATAAGATAAGAAAATGCGGGGTTAAATAGAACAAATTTAAATCACTTCAATAATCGCAAAATTTATCAGAAAAAAGAAAAAGAAAAAAAATATTTTTATATTGTAGGTAATCATTGTTTTGTAGACTCATTTGGTATTTTTAGAAATGTTTCAAATAAAAACAATTTTTTTTTTTCAATTTTACAATTTGAGGAATTTTTTCATTTAATAATTCTCAATTGTAATTCAAAACCTGTTGCAAAAATAAATGTAATGATAAAATTACAACATAGTAGATAATAATGTGATGTTGCATTTTTAAACTGTAATGCAATTAAAAATAAATTTTTTTAATTTGAAAAATTTAAATAACTGTAATATTTAAATTTGTTGGCTCCTTGATTTTTTTCGCGAATAAATTTTTTGATTTTTCAAATAGATATCAAAAAAAAAAAATCTTGTATTAATTTTTTGAGAAAAAAAATATTTTTTTTTTTTATTTATCAAAAAATGATATTTATTGTGATTGATAAATTTTTTATTTCAGGATGCAAACTTAACATGGAACACAGACGATCCCGATGTAACGGAATGTTTTCAAAAAACAGTTTTAATATGGATACCAAATATTTTTCTGTGGACTTTTTCAATATTAGAAGTATTTTACCTTGTCAATAGCAGAAAAAGAAATATTCCTTACACATGGCTATTTATATCAAAAATAATATTTACCATAGGACTTATTATTCTTGCCATAGTCGACATAGCAATGGCTATTCATTTTAGTACTTACAAAGTAGTTTATAGTGTGGATTTCTACACACCCTGTATAAACATACTTAGTTACGTAAGTAAAAAATCAATTTTCCAAAACACCATATAAAGAAAATTATTTCTCGTCAAGTAAAAAAAAAAAAAAAACAGTGCTATGATTTTTATTTTTTGAAAATTTTTTTGATTAATTTTTCAAATTAGCGCTAAAAAATGTTAATGATAAATTTTTGTTTCAAATTTTGAGACATCGATGATTTTAAGAATTCAGTCAAATTGTAATTCGATGAAATGAAAATTTGAATAATTGAGGGAAAATTGAAATTTCACGATTTCTGTAAAAATAGAATAATTTCCTTGTTAAAATAGAAATTTTTTAGAATTAGTAATTTTATATTAGATTTAAATATATTTAAATAAAAATTCTGCTAAATAAATATTTGGCTAAACCAGGCCTCCGATTATACGACTTTTTTTTATTTTTTTTCAAAAATACGACTTTTTTCGACTTATTTTAATAAAATGCGACTTATTCGACTTTTTTTTACATGTTTTAAAAATTTTTTTTAATCAAAATATGTTTTTTTTTAGTATACAATGCAGATCTTCTTTATTTCAATTATTTAACAAATTTTTAACTAAAATTCTTCACTAAATTAATTATTTTTAATAATTTTAATGAAATTCTTCACAAATTCAATTATTTTAAATTATCTATTTTTCAATTAAAATTTTTATGAAATTTAATAATATTGTTTATTATTTTAAAAAAATTATCAGATAAAATTACCAAAAATTATTAATTAATTAAAAATCACTTGAAATTTAATTATTTGCAACAATTTAAATTATTTTTAATGATTTTTATAATATTCTTCGAAAATTCAATTATCTGAAAGCATTTTTTAATAAAAAACTTTTGGAATTCAATTTTTGTATGTGATTTCTATAAAATTCTTCATCAACAGAAATTTCTAGAAATTTATCTTATTATAATTATTGTCTCAAATTTCACATAGTCTTTTGAAAGTAAATTATTTTCAAACATTTCAATTTAAAAGCTTCGAAAATTTTCCATCTAAAATTTTTTGAAATTTAATAATTTCAATTATAACTCTACTAAAATTAAATTATTTTTAATGATTTTTATAATATTCTTCGAAAATTCTAGTATCTGAAACCATTTTTCACTTAAAAGTTTTTTAAATTATTGTATTTTTTCTGCAATTTTTAATAAATTTTTTAGTAACAGAAATCATCAAAAAAATTTTAATTAAAAATTACTAGAAGTTCAATTAATTTCAAAAATCTAAATTGTAAATTTTTGAAAATTCAATTACTTTTAAAAAATGTTATCTAAAATTATTTGATAAATTATTTTTAGTTCAGTAAAATTTAATTATTGTCTGAAAATTAACAAAATCTTTTGAAATTCAATTATTTCTAAAAATTTCAACTTTAACTCTTCCAAAATTATGTGAAAAAAAAATTTTTTAAACTTGATTAAGTATTGCCTGAAATTTTTTTCGACGATCAAAATGAAAAACTATGACAAAAAATTTTAATTCGAGTAAATTGCTTAAATCAGACTTCAAAAAATTATAAAAATGGAACTTTATGAATTTTTTTTTTAAATTTGTCTTACTTAAATGAAATTTTGTTTTCAAATTAGTTCGATTTTGAAATATTCGAAATAAATTTTCTTTATATTCTTATAATTATTTTCATTACAAAATTAATAAAATGAATTTAATATCTAATAACATTCGTTATTTAAAGTAAAATATTTATCCGAGGCCTGCTAAATAAAAATTCTGTCAAATCAAAATCTGTTAAATAAAAATCTTGCTGTTTGAGAAATTAAATTGAATATAAAAATGTACGAAGCTGAAGTACGCAACGTTTATAATAAACGATTTTTAAAGAAATAATTTTTTAAAATGAAAAATTTTATAATTTTTTGCCTAAAAAATATTGTTTTTATAATTTGTTGGTTAATGAAAAACTATACAAGAAATATTTTTTAGGCAAAGAATTAAAGAATTTTTCATTTTAAAAAATTATTTCTTTAAAAATCGTTTATCATAAACGTTGCGTACTTCAACTTCCTTAAAAATGTGAGCATTTAAAAATTTGGTTAAATAAATATTTCTAAAATAAATATGTTTTATAAAGAATTCTATTAATTCGAGATTTTTTTTTATTAAGAACAAATTATATTTCCATAAAAAAAATTCAGTTAAACAGAAGTTTTGCTGAAAATACTTCTGCTTAATGAAAATTTTTTTAAATAAAAAATCGAATTATTTAAGTATTAGATTTTATAAAATTCCGGCTAGATTACAATATTGAAGATTATAAATTTCTTCAGTCTGGAAATGTGAATTAAATATTTATTTAATAAACATATACGAACAAAAACCCTTGAAATACATGAGTAACAAATCTAATCAACAACCGTGCTGTGAACAAACAAAAATTCAAATATTCTAAAATTAAAACACTATAAATATAAAATATTTAAAAAAAATAAAAATCTACGTAATTTGTTTTAATTTTAAATATATTTTACAATTTAATATAATAATAAACCAAAACGAATAATTTTAAAAATAAATAATTATTCCAGATTTTGGCTGCTGTACTTGTTGTTTACAACAAAAAGTTTGGCATGCGTACTTCAGGGTTAATTTTCCTCTTTTGGTTTTTACACGCACTTTTTGGATGCGTACGATATAGAAGTTTAATAAAATCATCATCGCTAAAGGTAAAAAAAAAATGTGAAGTTATATCAAGAATTTACATCATCATTTTAAAATGAAACTGTAAATTTATCTTGTTTTTTAATTTATAATTTTACGAGAGTCTCGTAAGTTTACAGATTTTCAAAATAAACTACGTTATCTTATTGTAAATTGAATTTTATCACATGCATCGTAAATAATTTTATATTTATTTTAGGAGGAAGTTACATATGAATTTGTATCATACATGATTTATTATCCCATTGTTGTGATATTGTTTGTACTCAACTTTTTTGTCGATGCCGAACCCAAAGTCACCGATTATGCTCGGGTTAGTATTTTTCTATTGTTGTTTTTTTTTTATTGTTTAATATATAGACTAAAAATAATTTTAAAAAATATATACTTTTGTTAGAAATTTAATTTTTCAACGGTAATAGAAATATTTTATAATTTATTGTTTTTTACTTTTAATAGTTTAAAATTAGATATTTTTATTCTATTGTAAATTTTTTTTTTCATTTAATGATTAACAAGATTATTATCATATTATAATTTGCATAGGCTTGAAAGGGAATTTATATTTTGATTTTTATTTAATAATTTTTTAATTATATTAATTAATTTTTAAAAAATATTTAAATATTTGTTATTTTTTTCGTAAAGATTGAAAAGCCGTGTCCAGAGCAGAGCGCTTCTTTTCCATCGCGACTTTTCTTCAATTGGTTTAATTCATTGGCATGGAAGGGTTTCAAAAAACCTTTGGAAACAGGTGACCTGTGGTCAATGAATCCCGAAGACATGGCTCACGAAATTGTTCCACGCTTCGACAAATATTGGAATGCAGCACTTACCAAAACGGAACAGTAAGTTTAAAAACAAAAAAAAAATTGCGGTTTTTTAAATTCTTTCAAAAAAAGAAAATTAATTCATTATACATTTATATTATATTAAAATTTTTTGTTTAAAAAAAAAAAAGAAAAAAAACATCCTAGTTGTACGTAACGTCAGTTGATTTTTCTTGTGTGTTTTTTTTTCGCAAACAAAAGAAAACCATGGACTGAATTAAGGTAAGATTAAAAATTGAGAGTCCCATGATTTTACGTACTGTTAGGATCTGATTATATTGCATTTTAAAAGAGAAGCCAATTGTTGCAGTTCACAAGGTGTTAATGCATCATTTCGGAAAGGATCGGGTCAAATTAATCTCAATTCTGTTAACAAGAAGAAAACCGCCTCGATTCTATCACCGCTGTGCAAAGCATTTGGTCCCACATTTATGTTTGGCGCATCACTTAAACTTATTCAGGATATTATGACCTTCGTCAGTCCGAAAATTTTAGAGTGAGTTATTTTCTTTTTTTCTTAATTTCTCTACCTGAAAAAGCAGGTAGTTTGCCTGCACATTTAACATGGGACAAAAAATAAATTCTTGACATTAGAGGGGGATATTTAAGAGAACCTTTTTTTTTTTTTTGCTTTTTTTAAACTGCTGGTACTATTTAAAAAATCGGCAATCGTCACTTTGCTTCTAGATATAACCTGAAGAGTTTTCTCCTAATATTTAAAGAACAAGTCCTAAAAAAAATCTCACTGGCATTCAGTAGGAGATTTAAATACCTTTTTTCGGCTTAAAATACAAACTTTTTTTTAATTTTATTCAGATATAGGAATAAAATAAAAAGCATGACATTTGGCTATTTTTAGAGATTGAATAAATATAGCTTCTATTATCTATAATTGAAAACGATTAATTTGTTAAAAACATACATATTAATTGATGGTATATTAATTAATTAATAAAAAAAATATATGAATTATAATCTAAAAATAAATCTATTCATTATTAATTAAAGGTTAATTCATTTTTATTTAATAATTAAAATGACATTTTATCGATTACTCTGAGTCAAAGTAGAAATTAAAAGACTTTTTTTTTTTGTCGTCTCGTTTATCCCTTCTTATTTATTGCATCGCTAATGACTTTGTTTGACTTTTCTCATATTCTTAAATTATTTAATACTTGATTAGTGTCTATTAATAATCGTCTTGTTAGCAACGTTTAAAATTTATTAATTTTAACGTCATAAGTTTTGTATACAATTTTATTTTACAATATATTATATTTTAAATAAATTTTTTTACTTTTTCTTTGTATAAATATCATTAGAATAATTTTTGTGATTTATCAATTATATATCATAAAATAATTAAATTTTAGGAATTCCAAAAAAGGAGAATTTGATTAAAAAAACAAAAATTTTAGAAAATAAAGAGTCCTAGAAAAAAATTTAAAAGAGAAAAAATCCACACTTTTTGGAATTGAGAAAAAACAATTTTTAAAAATAGTTTTTAGGAAAAAATTAAGAATATTGTCCCGTTTGTCAAAAAATATTTCAATTTTAGAAATTTACAAAAAAGTATTTGAGGAGTAAAAATAGAATTTATGGAAAAAAGAAAAATTGTTGGAAATATTTTATTTTTAATAAAATTTCCAATTTAATGGTTTAAAAGAAATGGTATGTTTAAAAAGTTTGTAAATTTATTAAATTTAAATAATAAATAATAAGCTTCAAAATGTTTTTTTTTTTTTTTTTAAAAAACGTTAACTGACATTTTATAGAATTTTAGAAACGCCGAATTTCTATTTGATGGAACTTTTATTTGACTGAAAAGCACTTGGCCGATATAGTTAATCGGGAATTTTAAAATCAATCAATCAAAAAATGATCAGGAATATTGTAAAAATATTTAAAATATTGTAAATATTTAAAATTCCCATTGAAATATTTCGTTCGGTAAAATAAAAGTTCGGCGTTTTAAAAAATTCTATAAAATCACAATTTGGAACAAGCTGAAAGTTCAATCAAATGTATAGTTTCGCTGAAATAGAAATTCTCATACTTAAAAATTCAGGATATTTAACCAGGGTGTCTAACGGTCAGGGAAGTCAGGGAAAAATCAGGGAATTTTATTAATTTTCTGGAATTTTTTTATGAATAAATTAAAGTAACTATTAGTTTCAAAAATTTTTTTACTTTTTTCCCAAAGCAAATGCAAATTAAAAAGTTGTCCTTCACACTCAATTATTAAGCATGTGATATATCTTATATTCATTAAGTAAATAATTATTTACTATTATTTATTGAATGTAATAAATGATTCTTTATTGGATAACAATTAATTAATTTTTTTCAGTGAAATATTTGGTTTTTTAATATAAATAAAAATTATTTGATACAATTTTATTTTATCGGTTCAACTTCAAATAAAGTAAATTATTCATTAATATACGAATAATTTATTATTTAATGCTAATATCCACATTTAACTTATAAAAATTTTTACGGCGTCAAATATTTAATTATCGAATTTCTATTTAGCAAAATTGTATAAAGTGGATTTTATATTATGCAAAATTTTCAATTTACATTTAACTAAAATTCGATTTAAAAGAATTTCTATTTAGCAGAACCCTTATAAAGCATTTTTTCTAATACTTTTTTAAAAATTTTAAATTAATATAATTTCAATTTAACGAAATTTATGTCTATAAAAATTGACAAAAAAAGAACTAGGTAGAATTTTTCTTAAATGATAATTCTGTTAAATAAGAATTAGTTCGAATTAAAATTTTCTTTAATAAAAACTTTGTTAATTAAGAATTTTGTTAAATAGAAATTCTATTAATTGTGGATTTATTCAATGACAATTCTGTTAAGTAAATATTTTGATAACTCGAAATTTACTGAAATAACAATTCTGTTAAAAAAATTTGTTCTTTATGCAATTTTTCTTGACATAAATGCCGTTAAATTGAAATTGTATTAATTTGAAATTCGATGTACTAGAAAATCTGCTTTATATAATTTTACTAAATAAAAATTTGATAATTTAAGATTTGACGTCGTAAAAATTCTTTTAAATTAAATGTTGACAATATTTATACGTCCTCAATTAGTTTATTTATTTCACTTAAATATTTTATTTTTCACGAAACATTATTTATTTGATTCAAATACATATATGAAATTAGTGATTAATAGACAGGTAAATGATTTAATTGTATCAAAATAAATTTTATTTGATCAAAATTAAAATTTTTTAGTGTAATTCAGGTCAGGGAAAAGTAAGGGATTTTTTTTTCCTAGCAGTTGTTAGACACCCTGATTTAACAAAAAAAAAAAAAATTAACATAACTTTATAGTTCCGTATCATTTGTTTAAGAATTTTATCTACCCATTATAAAATAAGAAATTTTTTTTTCTCTTCCATAGTATTAGGAGCAAAGTGATGAATGTCCAAAAAAAAAAAATTTTATTTTTTTGTTTATGAAAGAAAAAAAAATTATCATAATTTTATCATTTTTGTGGCACATAAAAAAAATATTTTAAAAATTTCCTTGAAATTAAAGCAAAAAAAAAATCATTTTTTTTTTTTCAGGAAGCTTATTAAATTTATTCAAAATAAAAATCAAGATGAACATATGTGGAAGGGTTATTTTTATGCGGTTATACTTTTGGTAACGGCTGTTTTTCAAACATTAATTTTATCACAATATTTTCATCGAATGTTTTTGGTTGGTTTACGAATACGTACAGCATTGATTGCAGCAATTTATAGAAAAGCATTGCGCGTATCAAATTCAGCACGTAAAGAAACAACTGTCGGTGAAATTGTCAATTTAATGTCAGTCGATGCTCAAAGATTTATGGATGTAACTGCATATATAAATATGATTTGGTCAGCTCCATTACAAATTGCCCTTGCTCTCTATTTTTTGTGGGAATGTTTAGGACCATCGGTACTTTCCGGTTTGGCTGTGATGATTATTTTAATTCCCGTTAATGCCTTGATCGCTAGCAAAGTACGTAATTTACAAATTAAACAAATGAAAAATAAAGACGAAAGAGTTAAATTAATGAATGAAGTTCTTAGTGGTATTAAAGTATTAAAACTTTATGCATGGGAACCATCGTTTGAGGAGCAAATTCTTAAAATTCGTAATAAAGAAATTAAAGTTCTTAAAGAGGCTGCTTATCTTAATGCGGGAACAAGTTTCATTTGGTCTTGTGCTCCATTTTTGGTGAGTGAATAACATTAATATTAATAATGATTTTTTTGCAAATAATTTTTTTTTCATTATTGCTTTTAATTTAGCAAAAAGAGAAAAGTAGACAAATTGTAATTTAAATTGTCTTTTTATTCAAGGTTTCCTTAGTATCGTTCGCAACTTTTGTACTTGTTGACGAAAATAATATTTTGGATAGTAGTACGGCATTTGTTTCACTTACTTATTTTAATATTTTGAGGTTTCCACTTTCCATGTTACCAATGATGATCAGCAATGTCGTTCAGGTTTGTAGAGAAAAAAAAATTGCTAATCTTTATCTTAAAAAAAATAATATTTTAAAATTTTTATTTTGGAAAAAATGATCATTTCCAGGCTTCCGTATCGGTAAAACGTATAAATAAATTTATGAATTCAGAAGAATTGGATCCTGACAATGTTCAACACGACCCAAATGAACGTTAGTATTTTGTATAAAATTTCGATTTATTTATTTATTTTTTTTTGTTTGTTGAATTGTTTTTGAATAATATTAAATTTTAATTTAATTGTTGTAGCTTATCCGTTAGTGATTGAAAAAGGTACATTTGCTTGGGACTCGGAACAAACTGATACTCCTGTTTTGCGAAATATTAATTTAAAAATCGAGGAGAATCAATTAGTCGCTGTTGTTGGTACTGTTGGAACAGGAAAAAGTTCATTGATCTCAGCATTTTTAGGGGAAATGTATAAATTGAGTGGTAGAGTAAATACAAAGGTAAATAATGTGAAAAATAATAATAAAATTTAATAAATAAATTAATATTTTATTAATAAGTAATAATATTAATAAAATAGAGTCAATACTTTTGAACTGAGCCACCTAAAACAGAATTTTTACTTAATTCCTCCTTAATTCTGCATTTAATGTAATTTTTATTTAAATTAATAAATTTTTTTTTAAACAGTTTGAACATATATATATATATATAAAGATAATATATGGATGAAATGTTAATTTTTTGCAGGGTTCAATAGCCTATGTTTCGCAGCAAGCGTGGATTCAAAATGCCACACTTCAGGACAATATTTTATTTGGAAAAACATTAGATAAGTCTATTTATAATAAGGTCGTTGAGGCTTGTGCATTGGGACCGGATTTAAAAATGTTACCAGCCGGCGATCAAACGGAAATTGGCGAAAAGGGAATAAATTTATCTGGTGGACAAAAGCAAAGAGTCTCATTGGCAAGAGCAATTTATAATAATGCGGATATTTATTTTTTTGATGATCCATTGAGTGCTGTTGATTCGCATGTTGGAAAACATATTTTTGAACATTTACTTGGACCACAAGGACTTATAAGGAAAAAAACGCGTGTTCTTGTGACGCATGGTATTACTTATTTGCCAAAAGTTGATAATATTATTGTCTTAAAAGATGGTGGAATTTCGGAAATTGGTACTTTTAAAGAACTTTTAGCTAAACAAGGTTCATTCGCTGAATTTCTTGTACAACATCTTCAAGAGGGTAAGTTTATTTATTTTTATTATATATCTTAATTTGGTAATTTTTTCAAAAATTTAAAGTTTAGTTTTTTTTTGTACTTCTGGATAAAATTATCAAGCCTCGGATTGTACGACTTTTTTTTTTTTTATTTATTTTACAAAATAAAATTAAAAATTAATTTATTTAATTAAAAATAAAATACCTATGACTTTTTTTTAGTACAAACTGTAGCTCTTACAAAATTCAATTATTTTTGAAAATTTGAATTGAATTATTTATTTTATTTAAATGAAATATTAGTTTAAAAAATCTAATAAATTTGATTGTATAATAGTGAAACCTGACGATGTAGCGGACGGAGATTTAGATGAAATAAAACAAAGTCTTCAGACAACGATTGGAAAAGATGAATTACAGCAAAAATTATCACACGTCAAGACACAAATATCGGGAACTTATCCGGAATCAATTACAACGTCGGACAAAAAATCTTTAAATGGTTCTCTTCAACGGTAAATTGACCATTTTTCGATTAGAATTTTTTTTTTCTCTCAAATTTTTAATCTATTTATAAATGTACAGATATTACAAATTTTTCTTGTTTTTTTTTTTTTTGCCTCTAATGAAAAAGAGCGCAATCTACAGAAAGTCAACATTCGGGAAGTCTCGTTCGAAGTAACAGTGTCAAGGATAATGAAACGGGGAAAATTGCAACCGGAGAGAAATTAATAGAAGTTGAAAAAACAGAAACTGGAAGTGTAAGTATTACTTGTTTTTTTAAAAATAAGTTTCTTTTTGTAATTTTATAATTGGATCAAACCACAGAAAATCATCTGGAGGTGGTTGCTGCGGCAAATTTCAGAAAATATTGAAATTAACAAATTTATTGTTAAAGTCTTTAAATTAAATTAATTCAAAATTAATTAATTTGAAAAAATATAATAGCCCTTATTTTATATATAATTATTTAAAATTAATTTTGTAAATTCTATATTTTTGATAAATTTAATTGAATTTAATTTAGGTAAAATGGAAAGTGTACTCGCACTATTTAAGATCAATTGGATGGTTTTTGTCGATTTCTACAATAATAATGAACGCAATTTTCCAATCGTTCAGCATTGGATCAAACGTGTGGTTGGCAAAATGGTCTGGAAGATATGAAAATGTAACCTCTACAAATCAGACAGTCAATAATGAAATGTATCTCGGAGTTTACAGTGCTTTAGGTTTGGGACAAGGTAAGTGACTTTTTTTCCAAAATAATATATATTTTTTTTTTTTCCTTTAACAGATAATTAACAACCAATTCATTGGAAATTTTTTTTTTTTTTAATTTTTATTATTTTTATTTCTAGGAATTTTATTTTTATTTATTCATATATACATTGTCATTTTTACATTTTTTCAATTGGTCCATTGCTTTTGTGAACAGTTACAATATTCATCTTCTCATAAAAAGTCATTAATATGAAAATTTTTTTTTTTAAATTACATTTTTATTTTTAAAATTTTTTGATAAAGTTATTATAATTAACAAATAATTTCAAGATTTTTCTTTGTATTAATTTTAACATTGGATTAAATTTTCTAATCAAATTTTATCATTGTTCGTATAAATCAACACTATTAAAATTTTGTTTTCAAATTATAACAATTGTTGAATAATTGTTTCTAAAACAATTATTAATTATTAAATATTAATTGAATATATTTACATATTTAAATGAAAAAAGTTTTGTGTACAAAATTTATATAGAAAATCATTTGGCAGAGAAAGACTTTATTTTCTGAATGTTAAAAGAAATATTTAGAAAAGTCTTTAAAACTTTTTTTTTTAAGAACATTCTAAAATAGAGAAATACATATAATAGAAGGCACATTTAAATCATATATATATATATATATTATATTTATAAGTCATTGTGTTTGGAAAATCAAATCATCGTGTATGACAGAATTAGAAAAATTAGAGAATGTGTGTGTGTGTGCGTGTGATTTTGTTGTGATTTTCATAAATTGAATCGCTGAATTTATTCACGTGTTAAGTTAATCCATACAATCAAAAAGGGGAAATTTATTTATCACCAAAAAAAGTCGCTAATATTATTCATGAAAAATTCAGAATAAAAAAAAGGGAGAGATTAATTTTTAATTTATACAAAAATTTTATTTATTTATTTTGCAATTTGACGAGAAATTTTTTACATTTTTCGGAGTAATCATATGAATTTAAATAAAAATTTTGTAAAATTATATTTATTGGTATATGTACATAAAATTTCAGAGAAATAATTTTTTTAATAAAATTAATTAATTATTTACAAGATACAACAATTATTGTTGAATATTGTTTAATTTATGAAATTTTTTACTAAAATAAATAAATATAATTTTTATCTATTTTTATTTAAATTGGTGAGATTACTCTAAAAAGTGATAAATTTCTTCGTGAAATAGAATTTATTATTTATATAAAAATTTTCAAAAATTTATCATCTTTTTCATCCAGTGGTTCAATTCTCCATAATGTTCATGTGATTGTTTTTCAATCTCATTCAGTTTTCATTGATTGATTTTTGCATTGTACATAATTCAGACAAAATTTTTTGTTTATATTAGTAAATTAACTTTTAATTTACATTTTTTAATTTTTTATTTAGTTATTTACATTCGAAAATTTTATTATTATTATTATTATTATTATTATTATTGTTGTTGTTTTGTTAAATGAAATAAAATTTTTAAATAATTGTCTGAATTAAGAATAAAAAAAAATCTTGCATGTAAAATTTGGTCAGCATTATGTAAACTTACATAGTAGTGATTAGAGCCTCTAAAGTAGTGTCTCGAAAATTAATTTCAAATATTTTCATTCCCCTCGATTTTTCATATAAGATTAGTATTTATTGAAAAGTTCGGATTTTTGGCATGAAGCTATATAAATATTTTTCGATTATTAATAATAATAAGTTTTCAATCTATATAGTTATTCCTTCACATTTAATTAAAAGTTAATTGACAGCATGTTGATGCTCCTTTTTATTTGATTTGCAAAAAATTTAATTAAAACACAAAAAACGGGATACATTGAATATTCCTTAAAAATTTGATTAGTTCAAATTTCCAGTGAATTGAATTTTATAAAGACGCTATTAACTTTTTTTTTTAACTTTATACAAATTTTTATATTAATCGAATTTTTACACAACTAAATTTTTATGTTATCGAAATTTACTGAATAGTAAAGTAACCATATTTTTATTTAAAATAATTTTTATCTGACATAATTTCTACTGTATCGAGGATTTAAATTTTAATTCTGTTTAATGCAAAAAAGTTAAATAAAAATTCTATTGAATGAACATGCGTTGAAATGAAAATTTTGGTAAATAAACGTTTTGTTAAATAGAAATTTTATGAAATAAAAAATTGATTAATTCGAAAATTTGTTAGAATGATTTTTCTGATAAATACAAATTCGATAATTTGTAATTCGTCGACAAAAAAATTCCTACGAATCTAATGTGGAGAATATTCAAAAATGTATTCTATAAATATAGTATAATATTCTATAAAATGTAAATTCAGTTAAATCAAAATTTTTATTATTTAATTTTTGAATAAATGAAAATTCGATTAATTCTATTAAATTTTAATTCTATTTTTTTTAAATTTTGTTATCTAAATAAATTCCGTTAAATTAAAATTCATTAAACTAGAGAATATGTTAAAAGTTTATAATATAAATTCTACTTAACAAAATTTTATTAAAAATAGAAATGAATATAAATTTTGAAACACTGGAAATTCAAACTAATTTTCTTATTGGAAATATTCGTGCCTTTCACAAAAACAGTGTTTATTATTCCAAACACAATTGTTTTTTTCTTTTTTATTTTCACACACAATTTTTAGTTTCAAAAAACACCACAAAAAAAAATATTCCTTTTTGCTATTTAAAGTTGAAAAAAAAAAAAAATTATCGCGAATTTTCCTCTTTCTTAACTATATTATATCAATGACTTCTGAGAGAATTGAAAAAAATGTCTCGTATTAAAAAAAAAATAATTACAAAAAATTCTCAAAAATTTACATTAAATTTAAAAAGCATTTATTATTCTAAAGTTATAAATATAAAGTATTATTGCAAGTGTAAAAAATTTTTAATATGAAAAAATATTTATTTTTATTAAATATTTCAAAATAAAAAAAATAATGAATTTTGTAAAATTCATTGCAAAAAAAAACGTAAACTTGAGGGAAATTAAGAGATAATTAAATTAAATGAAAAAAGAAAAAAAAATTAAGTGATAGGTATAATTGAAATGTATTTCAGCGTCTTTTGTGTGTTTTGCACAAATAATAATGGCCATTGGCTGCCTCCGATGCAGCAAACTGCTCCATTCAGAATTATTATTTGGTATTCTACGATTACCTGTTGGATTTTTTGACACGACACCCACAGGCAGGGTCATTAATCGTTTTGGAAAGGACATTGACGTCATTGATAACGTCTTGCCGCCAACGATTAAAGCTTGGTTATTTTGCCTTGCATCGGTATGCAAATCAATCTCAAGAATGATACTTGAATTATTTTTATAGGCAATAAGAAATTCTTGATAACGATATGCACTAAAAAAAAAAAAAAAATTAAAATCTCCCACCCCTCCACAACCACATGGTCCACCAATGGGTACAATTGTGTTTAACAATAATTCAGAATTAATTATTATTGACATCCCTTCATCCCTCAAGCAATATGTAAAATAAAAATATTTAACCGAAAAATAATTCACACTTTGCAAAAAAAATGGGTGTCGATTTGCTAAAAAAAAAGAATTTTTTTTTTTGCATTTTTTGTGCCACTATTTTAATTTTCATAATTTCTTTATTATAAGCTTTGAGAAATTTATAATTATTGTTGATTTTTTGAAAAATTAATTCTGTTCTATTTTTTCAATTTACAAAATATATTTGTAAACGTATTTTTGAATTTAAAATTTTGAATCTAGAAATTTTGCTTGAAAATTGATTTTAAAAAGTTAGTTTTTTAATTTTTTTTAATTGCTGGAATGTGTGGGATTTTTTTTTGTTATCTAATAAATTGTTTATAATATTTATTTACTTATGTTTATATAAATTTCAAATTGTTGATTTATAAATTTTTAAATTAAATTAAACATTTCGATATTTTGAAAAGTAATTTGTAAATAATAATAAAGAATAATTTTTTTCAAAAAGTCAACACCAGCAGTAGAAGAATAATGAAATATTTAACGAGCACTTGTAGATATTTAACACAATTTTAATGCGAATGCAGCACTAACATAATGAAATCCCAAAATTAATTTTATTTTCACAGAATTTGTGTACAGTGATTAATAATTTTTTTGAATCTCATTTTTTCCCAAAATTCCATTTATATATTACGAGGGTTTTTTTTTTTCAAAAGCAGTGATTATTATTTATAAAATATAACCCTCGTATATATACATACATATTTTTTATAATAAATTATGAATGTTATTGTAAATTAAAAATAATTAATTTATAATGCTTTAAACGTTTTAATATTAAAAAAAAATGCTCACACACAGCATAAAAATATCTTTTTATTCTTTTTTTTATATATATTTTTGCACTTGCAATATTTTAATTTTATAGGCTTGGCGGCACCCACAATGTTTCTTACAATTTTATTAGGAGCAATAGTTGCGTCCGAAAATATATTTCAACGCGCTCTTAATCACGTTATTCGGGCACCAATATCATTTTTCGATCAAACACCAAGTGGTCGAACTCTCAGTCGCTTGGGAAAAGACGTTGATGTTGTTGATAATACTTTACCATTTTTAGTTTCTACTTTGATTGAAGATACCTTTGAGGTATTTTAATAAATAACTAAATAATAATCTTCAATGTTTAAAAATGCCAGGTGCGCGGAAAATCATTCCATTTTATTTTTTTTCTTGATAAAAAAAAAAAAAAAAAAAAAAAATTCATTGGAGCGCCTGTAATTTTTGTTTTTATCGAATTGTAAAATTTTTAGTAAAAAAAAATTCGTGTTTACAAAAACATTTTTTGAAATTAAAAAAAAAAATAAAAAATACTTTTTTAAATTAAAGAACAATTTTTAGATTAAAAAATTTTTTTTTAATTGCAAAATGCTTTTTTAAAATAAATTTTTAATTGAGAAATACTTTTTAAGATAAACAACTGTTTTTTTTTAAACAAAAAAATAATTTTTAAATTAAAAAAATTTGTTTTGTTTGGAAAAATATATTTTTAAAAAAATGTTTGTGAAATAAAAAATTGTCCAAATGAAAAAAATTAATTATTTCAATTTATTAAACTTCTAGTGAAAAAGAAATAAAATTATATCAATTTTTTGGAAAAATGCAGACGCTTACTGAATTAATAGCTTAAAATATTTGCTTTTCAAATTTTTTTACAAAGCGAATATGTGTATAAATAAATTCTTGTTTTTTTTTTTTTTAAACGTACTGTGATTGAAAAACTTGCTTTAAAATCACATTTTTGTCATCATCTTAATGTGCTTTTTTGTGTTAAAAATTTAATATCCAAATTTTATTCTCATCACTTACAAATTATACAAAAGAAATTTAACACTTTCAGAATATTCATCTTTATAATTTAAAGTAACTTTCTTGAGACTTTGATACAGGACTTTTGTTCAATTCAATTTCAATTATTATTAAAAAAAAAATCAAACAATCAAACAATTCTTCTAGAAAAACATTTTTTTAGTTAAAAATTTAAAAAAAAAAAAACTAAATTAATAATAGAACAAAATTATTTCGTACAAAAAAAAACAGGAAAAAATAGAATAAAAGAGAAAATTTTTAGAAAAAATTGAATTTTTATTAACACAATTGAATCATACTGTAAAATATGTATTTAGAAAACAAAAAATTGTATGAGAATTTTTACAATTATTTTTTCTTTGAATTTCAAATTTTAGCCGTGATGATTTGTTTGAAGTCAGTGACAGTTGCACTTGGAGCTGTTTATGCGTCACAAGAAATTTTTCTAGAAGTTTTAAAAATTATTATGAAGGCTTTGATGTCTTTTTTCGATCAAACACCACTAGGAAGAATTCTTAATGTTCTTGGCAAAGATATTGATGTTGTTGATAACATTATTCCAATGGTTCTCCAAAGTTGGATTGACTGTTTTTTCCGGGTAATTCAGAGTAAAAAAAAAAAAAAAAAAAAAAAAAGTACATGTTTATTGGTATTAGAGAAATAGGAAATTTTTGTTTATGGTGACCGGGAAAAATGTGTTTTATTATAATAAATAAACAAGTGAGCTTTTAAATTATATAGAAACGCTATATAAATGTTTCTGGAAAATTTTTGCTTTAGCATTAATATTGGTGACAAATTTGTTTTATATAAGAAAAGTAAACAAATATTAACAATTTATTAATTATTATTTTTTTTTTAATTGGATATATAATATTTTTAATTTTATTGAAAATTTCAAATATAATATTGAAAATAAAAAATAATATTTGAAATATAATATTTATAATATTACATTTCAAATAGTATTGAAGAAAAATTAGTTATCGAAAAGTAAACACTGAAAAAAATATTTAAATGAAAAGTTTTAGAAAAATTTAATAAATTTTTCTATTACTTTTAAAAAATTAAAAAAAAATTATATTAATTTAAAGTGCATTTTTTATGAAACAACAATATTGTATTTTACAAATACAAGAATTTTATTTTTTTTTTTATTTCAAAATTTTCTTTTTTTGGAATTTTTTAAAAATTTAATACGCCTATTTTTATATATTTGCATTCATAAATTATAAATCATCATGAATTCTGAAAAAAAATTTTTAAAAATTTTCTTTGAATTCCAAATTTTAGCCGTGATGGTTTGTTTGAAGTCAGTGACAGTTGCACTTGGAGCTGTTTACGCGTCACAAGAAATTTTTTTGGAAATTTTAAAAATTATTATGAAGGCTTTAATGTCTTTTTTCGATCAAACTCCACGCGGACGAATTCTTAATATTCTTGGCAAAGATATTGATGTTGTTGACAACGTAATTCCAATGGTACTTCAAAATTGGATCGTCTGTCTTTTCCGGGTAATTTTCAAAAATAAAAAATACAATTTACATACTTGCATTAAAAAATTGAAAAAAAATTTTTTTTTTTTTGAGGTGACCGGAAAAAATGTATTTTTCTTCTAACAAAACACATAAGCTTTTCTAAAAAATCACAATACAACACAAATTTTATAAAAAAAAAAAAAAATTGCACTTTAACTCAGTATAATAACAATGGCAAATAATTAGTTTCTTTAAACAATAAACAAGAAAGCAATGATAAAGATATATTTCTGATCAATTGGAAATTTATTTAAAATACTGTTGACAAAAAAAAAATTATAGATATAAAAATGAAAAATTATTTACACGAGTTAATAGTCAAAATTCTATTAGTGTTGATTTTCGAATGAAATTCTGTATCTGTTTACTCGCAATTCGACCAAAATGAAACTATAATACTGCATGAAAATTTTATTATTTTCGAAAAAAAAAAAAAAAATTTTAACAAAACATTTTGTGGTATAATTTTTCATCAAATTATTGCTAATATATGTATGGATTGGGTTCAATTTTTTTTTTTTTTTATTGTTTAACTGTAGAAAATTTAATATTTTCGAATTAATTATGTAAAAAAATAAATTCATTTTTAGTTTTATTAAAAAAAAAATATAGGATTGAAAAATATTAGACTTATGAATATTCCCTAAAATTAATTAATTCGAATTTTATGTAACCAAACTTTACAAAAGACAAATGTTTTATTAAACTGAATTATCATTTTGTGTATAATTTTTATTTTATAAAATTTTTCATAAAACAATTTCAATTTCAATGAATTTTTTTGCAATTATTAATATTAGAATTTTACTTAACAGATTTTTGATGCAACTAAATTTTCATTTAAAAAGAATTTCTATTTAATTAAATTTTCATTGTAAAATTTTTTTTATTTATTCGAATTTTCATTTAAAAAATGTGTCATTGAATCGAATTCTCAAAAACATAATTGTTTTAGGTTAAATTTTTATTTACCAGAATTAAATATACAAGATCTATTTAAAAGAAATTCTGTTAAATAAAAATTGGTACAAGAAGAAATTCGACGAAGTAAAAATTTCGTCAAATAGAAATTTGGTCAAGTAGAAATTCTTTGATATGAAAATTTGATTAGAAATTCGGATATATAATAATTTTAAGGGAAGATTCAAGCGTCTATTTTTTGTTTTCTTCTTGCAAGTTTAAAGAGGTTAAACTCCTTGACATAACTCAAATTGAAAATTGATTTTATTACCAAATAAAACTATAATTAAAATTAAATTTACTAAATTTTGAAAGATTCAGGTGTAGAATTTTCAAAAAATATTTATTTTGAACCCAAATTTCATGTCACATAATAATTGTTTCACATTTTGTATTTTTTGTTTAGAAAAAATTTTTTAATTAAAAATTACAATTTACTAATTTAAAAAAAACAAAATGTTAAATAATTTATTATTTGACAAGAAATTTGAGTTCACCCAAGAAGCACGTAATATATCCTCAATATCAAGGTAATATTACACGTGAGATTCGTAATATAACGCTGTAATATTACAGTAATCTTACAGTGATCTTAAAATGTCCGCCTCAAGGTAATATTACCGGGAATATTACTGTAATATTACAGTAATATTACAGACTGATTTGAGTTATTCATAAAGCATAAAAAACGTAAATATATATTATAAGTCAATTTGGCTTGTTGGTAAAACTCTGGACTCGTGTGCTTTGAGTTCGGGGTTCGATTCCCTGGATGGGTAGATTTTTTTCGTAAAGAAATGTTCCCATAATATTACTGTAATATTCTCTTGTAATATTACCTTAATATTACGGTATAATATTACTGCAATATTACTGTAATATTACCTTAATATTAGCGCGTAATATTACAGTAACATTACCGGTAATATTACCTTGAGGCGGACATTTTAAGATCACTGTAAGATTACTGTAATATTACAACGTTATATTACGAATCTTACATATAATATTACCTTGATATTGAGGTTATATTACGTGCTTCTTGGGCAAAATAATTTTTTTTTGAAAATTTTACTGAATTTTTTTAATTTTGTTTTTTTTCAAAATTTAATGAAATCAATTTTAATTTTAATTTTATTTGTATGAAAAACAATTTTTAGTTTTGAGGTTATGTCAAGAAGTTAAATCTCTTTAAAGGGCTGAGCTGAATAGAAACGTAACCAGAATCGTAATCGTAAACGCAACCGGAATAATGAGTTAGAGAAGGACAAACAATATGTCTATCCTTCTCTAACTCATTCTTGCGGTTGCGTTTGCGATTACGATTCCGGTTACATTTCTATTCTGCTCAGGCCTTAACGGTGTTTTGTAAAGGCAACCTTTAAAAATGGTCGCCAATTTATATATTTAATTTTAAAAACGATTTTTATTTTGTAATCGTGAATAAATTTTTAATTTCTTGAGCACAAATGAAGGTTCCAAAATTCAGGATATCTGCTATTTTTTTAAGATTTTGCTAGTCTGACTTGCATAGAAAATCCTTTTCAAAATTAAATTTTCGATTTGGAGGCCATTTTTATAAAATGCTACGGTGCGGAACAAAGATGGTGACCGTAACATAACCTCAAATTAAAAAAATGATTTTGAAATATGTTTTTAACGGAAAATAAGGCATAATAAAAATTAATTTCAATTAATTTTGGAAATTATATAGGTTATAAACTTTTCAGAGATAAATGAAAGAAAAAAATGTTGAGTCGCAATATCTTGTGTTAAAAATAGTTTTTTTTTTAACATTTTGATTTTTTTCTTTCACCTCAGACAAACATCGTAATTTTTATTCAATTATTATAAAAAATAGTTTATTTTACTCTTTGAAATATTCTCTACAATAACAATTTTTTCCATGTGTTGATAAAAATATTATCTTCAAAAATTATAAACAAATAAAATTGTTTTTATTTAAATAATTTTTTTAACAACATTGACAAAAATTAGGATTGTAGAGAATATTTTAATGAGTAAAATAAGGTATTATTATTTATGAAAATTGGATATAGAAATTGCGGTCTTTGTTTATAAACTAAAAGAAAAAAAATCTAAATGTTAAAAACTTATTATTTGACTAAATATTTTGAGTCAAAACCGTTTTTTCTGACATGTATATAACTAAATCATCCAAAATTGATTGAAATTAATGGATTTCTAATATTTTATTTATTTGTGTTGGAAAATGGTTAGAAATAATCTAATTTTTTAATTTGAGGTTATGTTAGGGTCACTATTTTCATTAAGAGTGTCGAACGGTCTCTGAAATTCTTAGGCATTTAATTATCGACCTAAAAAAACGGCACAGAACGTGAAAATGATAAACATTGATTTTAAAATACTTTTTTTCGAAACGCGGACACTCTTTTTTTAAAATCGGACAAAATACCGAGAATCCTTATGTTATAAATTTCTTAAATCCAAAAGATTGTGGAAATCTATACAAAAACGCGATTGTAAAATGAAAAGTAGGAAAGTAATATAATAACATCTGCGACTTTGTGCTCCCTGCATGCTTCTGCCATCTGACGGCGGCAGGACGTAATGGTCGTGTCATTATATTACTTTCCTTTTTCCAATTTTGCGATCGCGTTTTTGCATGGATTCGAACAATCTTTCGGATTTAGGAAATTTATAAGATAAGAAATCTTGGTACGTTGGCTGATTTTATAAAAAAGTGTCCATAATTGGAGAAAAAAGTGTTTTAAAATCAATGCGTTTATCATTTTTACATTCAGTGCCGTTTTTATAGGATGATAATTAAATGCCAAAGAATATCAAAGACCGTTGAACACTCTTAAGTATACATAAAAGAAAAATAATTAAAAAGGTATAGTGATATATTAAGCAATTGAACTAAATAATTTTTTATAATAGAATTAAAAAAAATAATTTTTTTTTTTAATAATTTTGATTAAAAAAACATGATTTTATGGGTAGAAAAATTATTTTCGAACAAAATTCAATAGACACTATAGAAATTCAGATTAACAGGTAACATTATTGTAGAGCAAAAATAGGTAAAATAAAAAAAATTTGAAAAATTTTGAAT